CTATATATCTAGATGGAACGGCTGCGCTACCGTTTTGCAATTAAAATTGCAATTATCAGTGCTAAAAACAAAGCAGCTTCGGGCGTCTGTGCAAATTTGTACAACAATTAAATGGAAAATAAAAAAGCAGACTTGAAGGGCTTTCAATTCCTGGTTGATTATATAGGAAAACCAGTTTATGGCCTTGTACAAACTGAGGTCTCTTCAATCTGCGTGAGCCGTTGGCCTCAATGTCAAGCTCAAGTCCAGTGCCCAAGCTCAGTCAAAAGCTTTGTTTTAATTAATAAAAATCTGAAAAATGAGCACAATTTAAATAAAGTTGCGTGTCGATGCTTAGAAGTGGCTGGAAAAAGCAACAAGCCGCTAAATTTTCGACCGTCGGCAGTTGAAAAATCTTGTGCAATTAACACAACCAACAGCAACAACAATAATTAAAATAAAAGCAACGACAAACAGCAATCAAAATAAATATCTGAGGGAACATAAATAATGAATTAAACAATCGCATTCGTCGCATCGCACATGCAGCTTAGTTTAATTTTATCAAGGCATTCTAAATGCTCTATAGTTTCAGATTAAAATTTATAATTTAATCATGACAATAAAATATTAGTCTTTACAGCATTTATAAATTTGTACATAGAAAAAGGTTATATCTTATATCTTATTTATTCTAACAACATATTAAATACCTTTAATTTAAAATGCTTTCGCGATACGGTATTCAAACATCGGCTTAGTAAAATTGTTACGTTTTTCCCTCTTGATTAAATTCATTATTCCCATATAAATAAAAAAATAAAGTATATATATAGAACACACGCGACACTAATGCATTTTATTAATTTATTTATCTAAGAATTGTGTTTGAAATGCAATTTAATTGAATGCAGTTCTAATCAATTCCAGATGGAAAGAAGCCACTTTCAGGCTCTGGATAGTTAAACTTGAAAACTCAATGCATTAGCATAATTTCAAATAAGTAACTTCAAGCTATTGTTCGAATCGGTATTCCCACGCTCATAATCCGAAATTGCATGCCAATTGATAATTAATATTTATTAAAATGTATTTTACACACTTTTCATTGTGCATTCATTTGAAATGCAAAGATGTCTGAATTCTCTCCATGGCAAACACTTCGTATACTTACTAAGCAAATCTTTTTTGCTTGTGCAAAAATAAATTCGTTTAATAAGCCTCTGGCGGCACGCTAAAGTTTTTAGTTCGAGTTCAGAGCGCCGACTTGTCGGTAGAATCCGCGGAATGAACGATCCCCCCGAAAAAATAGTGAACTCATTGCGAAAAAGAAAGTGCAATCTAGATGATAGCATCAGTACTTCCTGAATGCAAATCATACAGCCTTGACTTTTGATTCACTGGAACAAAATCCGCGACTAATTGGGATTTCTGTGCGCGTATCTGGCGGCTATAGCTATAAGCGATCGTAAGCCACATAAATATCGGTCGTTACTTCAGAGTTCTATAAATACTCAAGGCCTGGTGGCAATTCAGGTTCATTAGTGCAAGTGATGTTCCAGTGGCAAGAGTATTGTGCAATTTGTGGAGCATACAATCTTTAGATCTATTTCAATAAGGGAAACACTGCCAGGTAATAATATTATACTTGACAACGGATCTAATCGTAGGCATTTTGGAAAGTGGTTAGGAAAGTTCTTATTAAGAATCTCCTAATCTTACTAATGAGATAAATGTGACTAATTTCTAACTAACTTTTAAGAAATTTTGTAAAGACAAAACATTTTTTATCGACTTAACTTTTATTTATCTTCTTTATTTATGTTACCTTAAACTCGTGCAACTTTTAAAAGTTTAATTAACCACTTAAGTAAGTTTACTGAGTTAAAACATGCCTTAATAAAAATAGCGCAAAACATAATTTTTAAATACAATTATTAGTTTTTATTAAACTTGTTCTAAGACAGAGCTAATTAAAGTTCCCATTAACATTAATAGTACTATTTAGTATCAAAGGGCTAACCAAGTGAAGAGGCAAATTTAATGATGCCATTTTTTTAGTACTATAACTAATGCAACAGCTTTGTATTTCAGCAGTTAATTCTAGTTGATTTAATCAACTAAAACTACAAAATTTACTGCTGTTTGTCACGCCCCCAAACGTGTTACAGTCGTATGAATTTTCAGCAGTTTTCTCGTCTATTTATCAGATACTTCCCATTTGTCATTCAATGACAACACTTTGTCCCTGCGGAGACGTCATAAACAATCAATTGTCCGCTGGGACAGGCATCAATTGTTGTCTCAATTGCAGAATAAATTGAAAACATTATGCAAAGACTGTTGGCGGAAGACTTGATTCATCTTTGCCTTCAATTATGAGACCTTTTTGCTAATAGCAGTGGGCTAATTCAATTTTGCAACCGAAAACTTAAAGAAGTCTGCGTTTTGGTTCCCTTTTGTGAGTCTCTCAAAGCGAATTATGCAGGCAAATTCAATTTGCGCCTGACGTTAGGCAACAGCAAATGTTCCAATGACAAATGTTGCGCATACGCCCCGTGTATTTGGTGTTAGTGTGGGGTGGCAGGCAATTAAATAAATATTTAAATTGCGTATGATTCAATTAGAGCCGTGTGGCCGTGTGAAAGATACTTTTTAATTCCAACCCCAAGACTTGTAATTTACTTTTAATTAGCGAAAATCATTGAGGCATTAAGCGAGCGTGGGATTTGTATTGGGTATGGGAATGGGAACGGGGATGATGGGAAAGCTGCTTACTCCTGATTTGATTACATTTTAAAAGACAATCGGATTACTGTTTTCCGTAGCAACCAGCGGCTAGCGACGCAATGCAATCATCGACCGATGCGGGAAATGGTGGACCTAGAAAAAACACGCAGAGCACAGCACCCCAGAAGCAGTCGGAGATTAGCGAGACCACCTCCTTCACCATAAACGCCAGCACCAACCAGCAGCCAACTCCCGGAGGACCCGCCAGCAAAACGCCCAGCAAAAATCCCTTCAAGCAGCAGTTGGACGGCAATCAGCAGAATGGCAACATGGACCAGGATTGCGGTATACTGGGCGTCGGCAAGGAGCCGCCTGCACCGCCTCCGCCCACCTATCAATCCCAGACCCATGGAGGACGACCGGCTCCGCCGCCAGCGGATCAGTACCGCGAGGAGGATCCACGCGCTGCCGGGTCCTGGTCCGCCGCCAAGTCCTGGATGGTCAGCTGGCGGGGCTCCAATCGCCTGGTGCTCGTCATCGTGGCCATAGCCCTGCTCCTCGACAACATGCTGCTGACCACAGTGGGTGAGTGTTCACCTGGGATACCTTATTGCCTCCCATAAATCTTATTCCCCGGTGGCCATTAGCATTTCATGAGCATTTATCTCCCGGGGCTGGTTATCCTTGCCAGCCAATCGCCTGGAAATTGTCCATTTCCTTAGAGGATGGGGAAAGTGGTGCCATAAAATTACCACAGAGCGGCACTTTAGCTAATGAACGCTTTCCTGTCAATGCGAATGGTCTTTGTCAGTTCATCAATTCGTAAGGAACTGAGGTTTTTTTGGGATAAACAGGGGTTATTTTTCCTGAGATCTCATTACTCATACAAAAGTTAACCGTTTAGGATAGAAGCACCATAAATATAAGGGTAGATTTTGATGAATAATATTATTTAAACTGAATAATACTATTTGCAAATACAGAAAGAGAAGTACATTTTTTGAACACTATGTCTTAATGTAAAATTAAATATTTGTAGTTTTCCCTTATAACCTTTTGCAGTTAACACAGCTAAACAAATTCTTCAAATAGAAAAGTAATAAAATATAGAAATGGAGGAAAATTAAAAAAAAAGTTTTTAGTAAATTTACTAGTTATCTCTCTGAATTATTTTATATTTTCGCCACCTGAAAAACTACTCAAAAAATGTATTCATATTTTAGATGTGGTTACATTTTATTGTTTGAAAATGACTTGCTCATTTAAAAATGACTTTTGTAAATTAAATATGCTTTGACAAACCATTTTCATAAGCATTTATTTTTTAGGTTTGTTTTAGTTATTTTCCTTAGTGTTTAATTTAAGATATGACCCCTTCAACAAGGTACCAGCTAACATAAAGCCAGTCAGTCAGTGATTTTGTAACAGAATCAACTGGAGTAGTCTGATCGTTCGATAAGAACTTAGTGCACCCTTAATTTGTGTTGAAGGCCATGCAATTAAATCAAATACCAGCCAACAACTAATCAAAGCTGAAGTGCCCCTGCTTAGTCATTAACAAGCATCGATGGCCAGTGGGCCAGACTGAGTTGGGCAGCTCCAAGTGCTGTTCCGTCGACAGTCAATTAAATAGACACGCACTGGAAGACCCTCCTGCAGTTGACACTAAAACCCCACCAGGGAAAACGAAAACTCTCTGGGGGTGGATGTGTCCAGTGTCCAGTGGCCAGTGTTCAGGCCAAGTGCTTATGTCAAGTGTCTGGCCAAACACATGGACATTGAGTGGGAATCCTCGGATCCTTCAGCCTGACAAATACAGCAGGGCGAAGGAAAAAAGCCGAAAAAAAGAGGAACGAGATTTTTCTTTGTGCTAAACGTTCATGAATTTAAATCAACAAGTTGGGCAAAAAACCAAAGGAAATAGCCGAACCACTCGAGCAACTTGTTGAGAGAGAAAGAGCACGGAAGTGAAAGTCAAAGGAAAAGTGGAAAAACTATTAGCTCCATGGAAGAAGTTTCCCTTCTGCTGACAGGATAAAGGAAGGGGCTGGGCTTTTAGCGTTTGACTGGCGGCATTTCCACTTAAGTGCTTTCTCGATTCGCGCTCAAGGTGCTGAAGCGAAAATTGCTGCAAATACATTTGATTATTACATTTGATCTCTGGCCTCGCACCCCCCATTTTATCACACCTCGCATAATATCCCCATAAATTAGATTTAACCGGGAGCCTGTGGAGATTTATATGGGTCATGACCTTATCCGTTTGACTCGATGCCAAATTGAATATGCAATAAGCTTTTGTTTTATTGAGGAAGATTGAATAATAGTAGCTTAAATAGGGTTCACTTTGATCCGGGGATACGGTCATATCCTTAGCCAATAAAACGAGTATTTTACATTGACATTGGTTGAACTATGCAAATAGATTGTTTCTTGGTGCTGTAGACAAATCTTTGGGGTGCTAAATAAATAGTAGATTTTATGGAAATAGCTGGACTTACATGTTAGTAATACTTATTAAAGCTATATTAAAAATCGTTTTTTATTAGACCCCGGATTTGGTCTTTGTTTTCTTCATTGATTGATAGTGTCTTTTGTTTAAATAAAATGAAACAAATGAATTGGACAATTAAGATGATATTAAAGTTAAATAAACCATTGTTTTAAGAGGATTGGGTTTGGTATTTTGAAATCAAAAGATGTATGTTCATTTTGAAATTAACATTAAGAAATATCATTCAGAAATATCACACTGCTTAAACTGACAGCATTAAAAACATACATTTAAATTAAAATATGCTGATTTACCAAATTATTGTTAATGTTTTCATCGTATTCTGAGTTTATGATAAATTCTGATTGTGTTTTCGAATCCGGGGTCTGTATATGTATCTGACCTATCCTATCTTAGTCTAAAAATGTTAAAAATTGCCTTTCAACCTTACGGACATCACAATGAATGAGTAAGCTTAATCCTCTGGATTTCTTCGCTACTTTCCCTGGGTGTGCGATTCGAGGGAGGCCACATCCACGGTCTCCAGCTTCTCCAGGCAGACTCCTGGCCTCCTTGTGGATGTGGGTGTGGTGGCCAGGGAGCGGGTCTTCAGATTACCTCCGCCCGTTGCCGGCGGCAGGAGCTGATCAAATCCACCAGATCCATCTTTGGACAGCGAGGCACTGCGCGAGAAGGGGAAATAGGCGTTTAGCTGCCGCTCCAGCACATCCTTGTTGATGCTCGTCTCCCAGATTTGCTTCTGGATGATGCTGCTGTAGCGTGCCTCGAAACTTTGCTGATGCCGCAGCAGATCCGGCGCTCCGGATCGTCCGCCTCTGGGACGTTCCCGCTCCCGCTCCGCCGGCGTGGGCGTGGCCGGCTTGAGGGGACTGCCCAGGGAGTCCTCGTCGGTGGACATGCCACTACTAATGGCCGGAAAATTAAAGTGCGCCGTGGAAAACTTTGCTCGTTAGGTGGCTAACAAACCAGAAAAGAAGAACGCCAATCGCCGGGAGAACCTGCCGCGTCCGCTGCAGAAACGCGAATAAGTCACGGCAACTTGGAACGATTCGTCTTGGAGTCCGTTTAGGCCTGTTATGTATGCATTCGAAATACTCAAAGTATTGTTGCGCATTTTCTTTTGCTGGGCGAAATGGGGAAAAGTCAAACGTCAGGCGGCTCAAAGTTTTTGCCTCCAAAAGTAATTGCTCCCCCTTTTGTCTTTTGGCTTGCCTTGAAGTCAGAAAGTTTTCCCCCGCTTTCCGTTGGCTGTGGACTTGTGGACTTGGTGGAACCACCCAACCAGACCCATTTAGACAAAGGTCACAATCGTGCGGCTTTTTCGGTGTCGTTTTGCTGTCATGGCAGACGCAATGACTCATTGAGCCTTGCGCTTATCCCCCACCATCTATTGCAGCGTATCTTCAAAATGCACGGGAAACAAATTATATGAACCTTTAGCTATTTCATTAATTAAATATTCCATAGTGTGAAGTTCAAAAATTCGATTTTTAACTTCGTACTTATTGGATTTTATATTTTACATCAACCCATATTTAAACCTGTGCATCGGTGGCGATATAGAAATTAAATCTAAAAAACGATATGTCAAAAATTTCATAACGTGAAGCTCAAGAACTCGCGTTTTTACTTAAAACATATGACTTGGATTTTATGTTTTCCCCCTTCATCTGCACCTGAATTTGTACCTGTATTTGTACCTGTGTATCGGTGGCGATATTGAAATCGAATCTAAATACCGACGCGTCAGTCATAAAATAAAACGATGACGACGACAACGACAACTTGCCACGTGTGGCAGGCGGATGGTTTAGCTTATGGTGTTGCTTGCATGACGCTTGATGGATATCCATGGAATCTCCTTCGCAACGGTTGACAGTTGTTGCCCCATTACACTGATGGATATGTAATGGCCATAATTAGTTTACGACTGTTTACGTTTTGTCTGTCGTAAACCCCATCAAAATAGTTTACAAGAAATAGGTCTGAGGAAACATAGAAAATTCTAGAGAATAATCTATTTAAATAGTTCATAAAATTTGTTTATTAAACGATCTTCCACTTTTCAAATTAATTTTGTATAATTTCCTATTCCTCTTTTTTCAAGAGTGTAGAATTCTTAAATCTTATTTCCAGTTTACTAATATTTCTTTTAAAACTTTTATTATACCCTTGCAGAGGGTATTATAATTTCAGTCAAAAGTTTGCAACGCAGTGAAGGAGACATTTCCGACCCTATAAAGTATATATATTCTTGATCAGCATCACCAGGAGAGTCGATCTAGCCATGTCCGTCTGTCCGTCTGTCCGTCCGTCTGTCCGTCTGTCCGTCCGTTTCTACGCAAACTAGTCCCTCAGTTTTAAAGCTATCTGCTTGAAACTTTCCCAAAAGTTGTCTTTCTATTGCAGGTAGTATATAAGTCGGAACGAGCCGGATCGGGCGACTATATCATATAGCTGCCATATAACTGAACGATCGGAAAAGCCATAACTTTGGTGTTTTTAAAGTTAGGAAGTTGAGATTTTCTATGGGTTTTATTTTTGGCTAATCAATCCGACCTACCGAATTTCATAAGGTTAGGACGACTATATCCTATAGCCGCCATATAACTGATTGATCGGAAATGCCATAACTTTGGTGTTTGTAAAGTTAGGAAGTTGGGATTTTCTAAGGGTTTTATTTTTGGCCAATCAATCCGACCTACCAAATTTCATAAGGATCGGCCGACTATATCTTATAGCTGCCATATAACTGAACGATTGGAAATGTCATAACTTTGGTGTTTTTAAAGTTAGGAAGTTGGAACTTTTTATGAGTATTAAGAATGCATCATATGAATAATTTTGGAGAATATAATTTATGGAATATTCCGCAAGGGTATATCAACTTCGGCTCTGCCCGAAGTTAGCTTTCCTTTCTTGTTTATTTACTCAGATTTACCAAGTAAAAAAATCCAGTTTCCCTTCCTTAACTTGGAATCCATTCTGCGCAAAATGGCCACATTCATTAGGGCAAAACTTTAACTTTAACTTTATTCCATTGTTAAACATGCAATATTTCCACAATTACATTGATTACGCTCCTTTCACTTGGGAACCACCCCAAAGCCACCACCCTCATCGTCATAAAAAAAACGCAAGAATCAACAATAAAGTCAGAACCAAAATCAAAACAAAGGAAAATGGGCGTGGCACATGCCGCCGACTTTTCGGGGTAATCCCAAAATAAACTTACCAAATTCGATAAAAAGAAATAAACAAAAGAAACTTTCAATGGCAACGGAACAAAAACGAAAATCAATAAAACCAAGAAAAGATTGTACGATATTAATAAGTAGTTCTCCGGGGCACAATAAGTACGCTATTCAAATTAAGGCACGGAGATTTCTGACAGGTGCATTTTTCAAAAAGAAAATATTTAAAATAAATATTCTAATAATTTTACCTTCAGAAAAAAAGTTAATATAAATCTGGCAGTATTATTATTTTCTATAATATAGATAAGATTTTTAAGGGTATTTAACCTTCGGAGATTCCCTAAATCACTTTTATTTTTGTGTTCTGGAGTGGTCTTTTTTAGCATATTAATAAGAAAAGTTAGTCTTAACTAATTTTCCCTTTCCTTGCGACCCTATAAATAGAAACTGTTTGCTAAGCTTTGTAATTGGAAAGGGGCAGAGTGATAGTATCGGATAGATTCCCAAATTAACCGCATTAACCATGTAAATGTCAGTGAACCTAAGGTCTAAAGAAGAAGGGAAGTCCACATTCACTGAAACAACCTCCTCAATTCCACGTAACCCAGTTAAATAATAATTAATAATTAATTTTTTTATATTATTATTTTCAAAGATCAAATATATTGTAAATTTCAGAAATTGTTTTTATTTTTTTCATGAATGGAAAGGTTAAAAATTCCTTTTTAAAATTATATTTTTTTTGTAAATGAGAAGGGTTTTAAAACGAAATGTCAAATCAATATATTTTCATAACATTTATTCAGAACTGTGTAGTGTTTCTTCATTTTGTAAGGCCCATTTTAATCAGATTTTACTGACTAGACAGAGACGTACTACAGCTGGCACAGCTCACTGAAGCTGGTGCTCAGGGCATCCTCGCCAGAACCCCCAATCCCACTGCCAGCCGCCGATCCCGCGGCCAGCAAACCCTTCTTGGGCAGACTGGGCATGAAGATGTGCAGCTGTTTCCGGCTATCCGAGGCAGCCGATGCCATTCCCCGACTACTTAGAGGCGGTGTGCGGCTGTCCTCCGTCAGAGGGGATGCACTGGCTCCACTGTACAGGCGGGCCGAGGCCAGCTGACCCGCCAATCTTCGCGTGGTGCTGGCACTGCTGCTCAGGGTGCAGAGATCGATGTTCCGAGCGGGTCTATTGAGGCGCACCGGCACACCCTCCTTGTTGAATATTATGGTTATGGGCTTGGCATTGGAGGCGGACGGGGAGGAGGTGGTGACCTGCGGGGCGGAGGGTGGCGGCGGCTTGGCACTGGGCTTCCTGGCCACCGATCGCTGGTGATTCGCTGCCGCCGCCGCCACTCGCTTTAGACTCATGCTGCGATGCTGGCTGCGCTGCATCCGCTGGGCGGATCTGGCCAACTGGGCACTACTGGTGGCCGGTGGACTGGGCACCACCGCCGCCTTCACTATATCCGTGCGTCCAGCCAAATCCAGCCAGTGGAGCACCCTCTCCGCCAGACGCTCCTCCGGATTGTTGGCCGTCGTGGTCAGGTTGCTGGCTGCATCTTGCAAGGAGCTTCTCCGCGACTGATGCTCCATGAGATGGTCCAGGTGATAGGTGCGCCCGCGGCTCAGCAGCCAGGCTCGTCGCTTCGATTGGCGGCTGTTGTGCCGCTGGTCGCGTTGACCTCCACCCGTCGAGGGGGCGGGGCCCGGCCGCCCACCCAAGGCGGGAAGCGACTGTTGCTGCTGCAGCGTCAGCTTGGTGGCGTCCAGAAGCAGGTCCTCGTCCAGGTACTCCACGCTTTCCTCCGGTGACTGCTCGTAGATCTCGCAAGATTGCGTCTGCTGGTAGTTGCTGTTGCCTATATGAAAAGAAATAGTTAAAATTACTTCGAAAATTATTGTTTATGTGCTCTTTCATCTATCCTATTTTCAGTTTGATTTTAAATCGAGTCCATACAATTCCTTAAACAGTGATCTACTGAAATAATTCTCATTATCAATTATCATATTAGGATTCTTAAACAATTTATTTTTGAAGCGTTTGATTTCTTTAATTACAAACCCATGATTTTAATAAATTTTATTGACTTGAGAAGAGTACGAAGATTGCTCAAAATTGTATATATATTTCTATATATTAATTATATTAGGGATTACAAAAAATAATCAAGCATTTGGATTTTTAGAAGATCTAAGATAAAGACAGTGAACTTCAATTTGTATTTGGCAGGCACCAAATTGTATAAGAATTTAGATTTCTGTCTTGTAATTCAAAAGGTTATTTACATTTGTTTTTTGGCCTCAGAATTTTTTAATTTAACGATTTGTATGAATTTTTACCTTACGGGGGCATTAAAAATAGAAGCAAAATGAATAAGTTCAATTCTCCTTGGAAAGTCTTTTCAGTATGATCTTGGTTTTTATATTAAAAAAACCTAATTGAAAATCAATAGTCAATTATTGGGATACCTTTACAAATAACCAAAGCCCTTGAAGATGCCAACTAAAGGAGAGTATACTCACCTCTCAGCCTCGTCTTCTGGCGCTTCCAGCGCTGCCTCTGTCGCGGCTCGTAGTCGAGGATGAAGTGGCGCCTCCCGATCGCCTCCTGCCACACGGAGCGCACAAACAGCGGCCTGCTGGCCGACTCCCAAATGGGTCTCATTCTGCCCCCTGCTCCTCGTCCGGATTCTATGGCTAATTAAATCCTGTGCATATTAATGGGATAAACAAGGACGTATTCCAACGACTCTAGCTCGGGTGCTGAGCTGTCCTCTTCCTCGTCGCCGGCGGATGACTGGTGGCTTTGCCAGTTGCCGCCTCACTGCCGCTTCTGTTTGGCTTGACGACGACGCCGTCGCCGCCACTGTCGCCCGGCATGTCGAATCGATGTATCTGGGTGACCTGCGGACGCCTCAGGGCTGCGGAAAACAGAATGTCACTAAAGTTGGCGCTCGAAATAATACATTTAAGGTTTTTTTATTAAAGGAAAAAGAGATATCCTTTTTCTGGTCTGTTCCCCTAGACTGCTCTGCTGCGTTTTAAACTGGCAGTTTCCAAATAGAAGATTTGGATCGAGATTAAGCTACGGAAAAACATAAAGTATATCAAAGGATATAGCTGACTACTGTTGCTGATATTTACCACTGTAGCTTAATACCCTCCTTTCCTTTTAAAAAATTAAAAAACCTAATTATATTTTTTATAATCTTATAAGAGACTTTAGCATTAAGTTTACAAAGGAATACCACTTAAAATACCAGTTTCAATTGGTGAAAAAAAAAGATTAGTTGGGAAGTAAACAATCTTCTCTTTCAAAATCCCTTCTTGGTTTCCTAAAGCGAGGCATTTAACTCAAATCTACAAGTTTCTACAACAAGGATGACGATTAAAAAAATTAGTGAACTATAACAAACTTATTTTTGTCTTTAATATATTTTAAAAATTATCGAATTTTAATACAAAATTTAGAAAATCAATGCCGAAAGGCGCTCTCAGCCAACCAAATCACTGATATCCTATCACTCAATCACTATTTCCGCAGCCCTGAATCAGCGATAGTGCCTGTTTGTTTGTATAGCGCCCCGAGTCGGCTTCCTTTTGGCATTGCGGTTTAAGTGTCTTCGACACGCGAAATGCAACCGAGGCGACTGAGTGACTTCCGCTGCTCCGCCATCCCAATCCCAATCCAAATACACCCACCTCCTGACCCGTAACATCCGACGCCCACCTCCTGACCCCGACTGCACGTGCTTTTCCGGAATTATCATTTTTATGTCAAAACCTCGGGAGACAGTTTAATAAGTTGTTGGGGCTGTCGGGCTGGGAATTACTAGGCAACATTTGTCTTGTGGCATTAAATTTGCTACTTAATCGCTAAGTGGTTAACCCCAATTAAGTAGATGTTGCCAAATTTGCATACATTTCCGCTTGCATGTCATTTGGGAGCGGGGACGGGTCGCCAAATGGCATGTTCACTCTCGGCCACATGGCCGACATATGTGACAGCAGTTGAATGGAATTCCGGGTCAGGTGATACTTCCACTTTCGCTGAACTTTGGCACGAGGCGGCACGGCCCAATACGAGAACTTCAAGTTAGACTATCTAGCCCTAAGCCCATCGAGCATGAATGGCCCTCATTAAAGAGCCCCTCCTCAACTGCAGCCCAAACATATATGGTTACGGCCTGTCACTACGATAACCACGAATAACTGGGCTCACAAGCAAACAAATTACCCCAACAATACTTCAAACTCCGCTCAGCACTCACTCAATTGAAAGACCATACACCCCCCCTCCCCCATTGTTGGGTAGCCCAACCTCTGACCTCGGCCTCGCACTTTGGCAGGAAATGCAATTACAGTGGCCCGAAGTCTCGAGTTCTCCGGGTGTTGATAATAAATATAAACAGAGTCGAAGCATGCAATAAACAAATTGAATTTGCCGGCAGAGGAGGCCAAGTTGCATGTGGCTTTATGCTAGACAGCGGTGGGTCCATTAAACGCATCGTTGTGAACGAGGCGTATGCGCAATTTGAGCCCTTCCTCCTCCACTTTTTGGTTGCAACTCAATTAGAACAAGGGGAAGGGGGGGGCAATCTCTGCCAGCGGCAAGGCAATTACAAAACTTTCTGGTGCCCGGAGAACGCAATTACCAACCGGCGGCCTCTGCGAAAATTGCCCCAAGGCACAAGAGCGTTTAGGTTAATTGTGAGCAAATTCTTTTTGTTGCAATCAAATTATAAGGCCCTCCATTTCTGTTTTCCCCCCCAACCCGCCATTTAGTGCCCATCATACCTGAGTTCCTGTACGACATACGACATCCGGATGCGCCGCTCGACAGCTTTCCACGCACCCCGCTCACCTCCAACGTGCCGCCGCCCCCAACGCCGTGTCCTTGCAACAAGGATGGCAGCGAGGCGGCCCCGCTCGAGATCTCGACGATAAGTCCGGAGGGTAAGTGTGTCCCGCCCGCTAATTGGCCACCACAGTCTGCAGCCCAAGTCCTTGAAAATCCACAGAAAACGAAACCTATTACCGGGAGCTGGAGGAGCGACACAACGAGCTGGTGGGCGAGACCGTCGAGGTGGGACTGCTGTTCGCCTCCAAGGCGTTTGTCCAGCTGCTGGTTAACCCAATTGTAGGACCCCTCACGCACCGGTAAGTCGAATTTGGGGCATTACTTGGTATATATAAATACTATCAGAAGAAAATAATTAAATCTTTCAAAGATTGGATTTTTAGCGACCTTTAAAAAGTACACTAATTGAAGTTTTCCTTAAACTCGATTGATTTTCTTAGAAACCTCTTTTTGGTGTGATTTGGTCAGAGTAGGTATTTATAAAATCCAATTAAAGGAATACGACCTTGAGAAGAACCACATATGTTAAGCGAAAAGTATTAAACTATCTTTTTTTAAAAACAAGAAAGGAAAGCTAACTTCGGGCGGAGCCGAAGTTGATATACCCTTGCAGAATATTCTATAAATTATATTCTCCAAAATTATTCATATGATGCATTCTTAATACTCATAAAAAGTCACAACTTCCTAACTTTAAAAACACCAAAGTTATGTCATTTCCAATCGTTCAGTTATATGGCAGCTATAAGATATAGTCGGCCGATCCTTATGAAATTTGGTAGGTCGGATTGATTGGCCAAAAATAAAACCCATAGAAAATCCCAACTTCCTAACTTTACAAACACCAAAGCTATGGCATTTCCGATCAATCAGTTATATGGCGGCTATAGGATATAGTCGTCCGATCCTTATGAAATTTGGTAGGTCGGATTGATTAGCCAAAACTTTACAACTTTACAAACACCAAAGTTATGGCATTTCCGATCGTTCAGTTATATGGCAGCTATATGATATAGTGGCCCGATCCGGCTCGTTCCGACTTATATACTACCTGCAATAGAAAGACAACTTTTGAGAAAGTTTCAAGCAGATAGCTTTAAAACTGAGGGACTAGTTTGCGTAGAAACGGACGGACAGACGGACAGACGGACGGACAGACGGACAGACGGACATGGCTAGATCGACTCTCCTGGTGATGCTGATCAAGAATATATATACTTTATAGGGTCGGATATGTCTCCTTCACTGCGTTGCAAACTTTTGACTGAAATTATAATACCCTCTGCAAGGGTATAATGATCCTTGAAAAGTTTACATTCTTATCTGACTACAATAGCTCTTCAAACGAATTGAAACATCTGATAATCGTTTTTATACCCTTGCAGAGGGTATTATAATTTCAGTCAAAAGTTTGCAACGCAGTGAAGGAGACATTTCCGACCCTATAAAGTATATATATTCTTGATCAGCATCACCAGGAGAGTCGATCTAGCCATGTCCGTCTGTCCGTCTGTCCGTCTGTCCGTCCGTCTGTCCGTCTGTCCGTCCGTCCGTCCGTCCGTCCGTTTCTACGCAAACTAGTCCCTCAGTTTTAAAGCTATCTGCTTGAAACTTTCCCAAAAGTTGTCTTTCTATTGCAGGTAGTATATAAGTCGGAACGAGCCGGATCGGGCGACTATATCATATAGCTGCCATATAACTGAACGATCGGAAAAGCCATAACTTTGGTGTTTTTAAAGTTAGGAAGTTGAGATTTTCTATGGGTTTTATTTTTGGCTAATCATTCTGACCTACCGAATTTCATAAGGATCGGACGACTATATCCTATAGCCGCCATATAACTGATTGATCGGAAATGCCATAACTTTGGTGTTTGTAAAGTTAGGAAGTTGGGATTTTCTATGGGTTTTATTTTTGGCCAATCAATCCGACCCACCAAATTTCATAAGGATCGGCCGACTATATCTTATAGCTGCCATATAACTGAACGATTGGAAATGTCATAACTTTGGTGTTTTTATACCCGTTACTCGTAGAGTAAAAGGGTATATTGTATTCGTGCAAAAGTATGTAACAGGTAGAAGGAAGCGTTTCCGACCCTATAAAGTATATATATTCTTGATCAGGGTCACTAGCCGAGTCGATATAGCCATGTCCGTCTGTCCGTCTGTCCGTCTGTCCGTCTGTCCGTCTGTCTGTCCGTCTGTCTGTCTGTCCGTATGAACGCTGAGATCTCGGAAACTATAAAAGCTAGAAGATTGGCATTTTGCATGCAGATTCTAGGAGTTCCTACGCAGCGCAAGTTTGTTTCAAAATGGTGCCACGCCCCTTTTAACGCCCACAATCGCTTATATACGATTTTAAAAATTTAAATATTTCGGAAAAGTAAAAATGCAGTTTTATTGTGTTTATCAATACCTATCGAAATGTAGAAGAAATTTTTCAAATCGGACCATTCGTTAAAATGTTATGCGTGATCAAAGTTTCTATCTCCATCTCCCTCGCACTCCCTTTACCTGAGTAACGGGTATCTGATAGTCGGGGCACCCGACTATAGCGTTCTCTCTTGTTAAAGTTAGGAAGTTGGGACTTTTTATGAGTATTAAGAATGCATCATATGAATAATTTTGGAGAATATAATTTATGGAATATTCTGCAAGGGTATACCAACTTCGGCTCCGCCCGAAGTTAGCTTTCCTTTCTTGTTTCGTTTTAAGTGGTTTATTTTACAAGAAAAAAAATACTTTTCTATCTTTGAATAATAATTTTTTTATTAAATGCTTTAAAATATATATATAAACACATATGTATATAAATACAATTTCTTATAAAACAGTTTTCTATCTAAAATATATACAAATTTTCTGAAAATGTTGGGATACAAGATTTTATGTTGCAAGAATTATTCCCTAAATAAGCTTAAAAACCAAAAATGTGAAAGTCTTTAATGATATTTCTCTCTGTACAGCATTGGCTATAGCATCCCCATGTTTGCCGGCTTTGTGATAATGTTTCTCTCAACGATAAGTAAGTTTTACTTTAATCAACATAGAACATTAAATTGAACCCCTCCATCTTGCCCAGTTTTCGCTTTTGGCCGCTCTTACCTGGTTCTGTTTGTGGCGAGGGCTCTACAGGGCATCGGATCCTCCTGCTCCTCGGTTTCCGGAATGGGCATGCTGGCGGATCGGTTCACGGATGACAAGGAGCGTGGAAATGCCATGGGTATAGCGCTCGGTGGTCTGGCCCTGGGCGTGCTCATAGGTCCTCCGTTTGGCGGGGTGATGTACGAGTTCGTGGGCAAGTCGGCTCCCTTCCTGATCCTAGCTGCTCTGGCTTTGGGCGATGGGCTGCTCCAGTTGTTCATGCTGCAGCCGTCGATCCAGAAGGCCGAAACGGAGCCACCTTCGCTGAAGAGCCTGATCAGCGATCCCTACATCCTGATCGCTGCCGGTGCCATCACCTTCGCCAATATGGGCATCGCCATGCTGGAGCCCTCACTTCCTTTGTGGATGGTGGACAACATGGGCGCCACTCGCTGGGAACAGGGCGTGGCCTTCCTGCCCGCCTCCATTAGCTACCTGATTGGCACCAATCTCTTCGGACCGCTGGGACACAAAATTGGACGTTGGTTCGCCGCCTGCTTGGGCTTGATTATCATCGGAGGATGCTTGATCTTTGTAAGTGGAGATATCTACCTACCTACACTTTTATTTAATTAAAAAAAACCAATATAACATATTCATTAGATCCATTTACTAATTTTTTATGGTTAGTATTAGCAATGAATTTTTTTTTAATTTAATCAAACACCATATTCGAATTTTAAGATCTTATATTTTTATATTTTTGTAGATACCCATGGCCACCTCGATTACCCACCTGATTATTCCTAATGCCGGCCTGGGCTTTGCGATCGGCATGGTGGACTCCTCGATGATGCCGGAGCTGGGCTACCTGGTGGACATCCGGCACTCGGCGGTGTACGGTAGTGTGTATGCCCTGGGTGATGTGGCCTTCTGCGTGGGCTTCGCCGTGGGACCGGCGCTGTCCGGATCGCTGGTGAAGAGCATCGGGTTCGAGTGGATGCTCTTCGGGATCGCCATCCTCTGCTTCATGTACGCCCCGCTGCTGACGCTGCTCAAGAATCCGCCGACGAGCGACGAGAAGAAGGTACGTATGGCCAGGGAGGCGGCTGAAGCTGCCGCAGCCGCTGCTGCCGCTGCAGGGGAATCCCCCGGAATTCCCCAGCTGACCGCATCCTGCCCGGCCATCATGCATGGCACATCCATCCCCAGTACGGATCCCGAGGCGGGCAGGACGAATGAGGCCTACGAGAGCGAGAGGCTTTGAGTCTCCTTGAATTTCTTAGCTTTTTAGTTGGCATTTAGTTGTTAATCTTTCGTATTATTAGTCATTTTCATTGTTTTAACTCTTAAGTTCTTCTTAATTCGCTTGTAATAAAATGTTTAGTTTTTATTTAGATTGCTGCCTGAGTTTCATTGTGCATGTCTCATATAACTGTTTAAAGAAAAACAGTAGACTAACCCATATTTTTCCACAATTTCCTTCTGTTTCCAGTCTTTGATCTATGGACGCGATCGGGCTCAGGTACGTTATGTCACCTATCAAAACTACGATGAAGACGAATAAGCAAACTTAACTCCAACGCAATGTTGCCAAAAGTGCAGCCAAAAACCAACAAAAAAAAGGGTATTAAAATCAACAAAAAAAGAGAAGTTCAAAGAGGCAGAAAGTAACCGTAACCACAACCAACAATATCAATAATATCATATGAAATTCCAAAGAAATCGTTATTCTTGTTCAATGTTTTGCACATGTTGCACTATAGTGTTTATATATACCTTTGATCATATCAAGAAGTCACCTCCCCCAAATATTTTGCACACGTTAAAGTCAAGCACAGAAATATCTGAAGAAAGTACTATAGAAGAAATAGAAAGTTGAGTGAAAATAGGGCTCCACTATGAGCTAGATGTTCGATGTGACGGGTAAATTATTATGATGGGTAGAAAAGAGAAAAGTGGTATCCTAAGAACCCTACTACATATTGGAGGCAATTCAGTGGCCAAAGGTTTGGAAACTAGCTTTTTTTTTGGAAGAACTATAGTTGCATCGGAAAACACCAGATGTAACTGTACGAAGAGCTCATGAAGCTTGTAAGAGTACTTCTCCGGAAGACTCTACTCCCAGCAGGGAAGGTAATTGCTGATCCAATTAGCAGACGCCCGCAATTGCATTGATTTAATGGAGGTATTCCAAGGAGCGAATTATGTAGATTTAAGAGAAAATGCCATACTTAACTTTCTAGGAATTTTGGCTATTCTTTTCGAATTTTGTTTGGGCTAAAAACATATACAAGTCAAATAACGAATCTCACAACTGGTCCATTAAAGAGAAATGAAGGGATTACATGGGTGACTTCTGGGGCTGATTAAATCTATACTCTAGAGATGATCTGACCCGGAATTCATCCATGGAATCCCCCTCTTCCCCTTCTCATAAACGCAACCGCCGCTGATTCTCCGCATATACGTTGATCTTCACCTGGCAGGCATCCTGTCTTTCGTGACTGCTGCTCCTCTCCCTTGTCGCTGGGGAAGACCCCCTCATTCTCACGTGGTTCATGCTGAAAGCCAGATCCCTATCTGACGTCTGTGAGGTGGTTATCCTTATGGGCATATTATTCAGACTGGTGACGAGGGGTTCGCTCCCATTCAGCTGCTTGGGTTCACTCACCCGACCATTGGAGGACCGCCCCATCCTGCAGCTGCTTCGCACTCCGTTGGTGGTGACCGTGACATGGACATTGCCATTAGAGGTTCCCGAACTAGTGCGGTCCAGGTTTCTTGGGATGGTAGGAGTGGCGCTACGTCGGCGACTACGAATGGAGGTGGTACTTAGACTGGAGCAGCGGTTGGAACTCCCAGTGGGAGTAGGTGATCGGGAGGTGGGTTCTCGTGGGGGTGTAGGTGAACGTGAGTCGCTATTCCGCGTAAAAATCGGCGGTGGAGTAAGTGAACGGGTAGCGGATGGGACGGTTTTTATTTCCTGGCTAAGCGGAGCTCTCCGCCTTTCTTGCGGCACAGGCGGATTCCTCGTTGCGGTCTGTAAACGCTCAGTCCTTGACGAATGTAAGTCACAGAAGGCCATTCCGGGCAAACGGTCGTCGGAGGTGGGAGTGTAGAGGTGCGAGGTCATCGGAACCGGTGGTCTTGGGGTCGGCGTGGACATGACCCGCATGGGCTCCCGACGCAGCTGCTCATGGAGGACACACAGGCGATGGTACTCCCTGAACCGCTGGGATTCCCGCTCCAGCTCGCGCAATCGATGCCTTTCGCGCTCCTCCTCCATTTCTAGAAGACGCTCCCTATCCCTCTGCCTCTCCAGCTGACGAAGTTGCTCACGATCCCGTTCCCGCTGACGGGCATGATCCCGCTCCTCTTGGCGCTCCCTTTCCAGTTCAAGTCTTCGATCCTCCAGAAGCTGACGATCCCGCTCCCGTTCTCGTAGTCGCTCCTGTTCCCTAGCCTTATTTCGCTGCCGGAGCTCCCATTCCGGACTGGTCCTCGGTTTCGTTTCGCTCACATTGAACTTGGACAGCCGCTTGTCGATGCCAAAGGATCCAGCGGATGTGGAACTACTCTGTTCCTGCTTTGTCTTCACTTGATCAGTGTTGTTCAGCAGATAGGCATCCGCCTCGATCTTGATGCTCACATTGTTGTCCACCTCGGACTGCGGGTCCACATTGGAGATGTTTATGTTGATCTTGCAGCCACTGCAGGCGCTTCTCTTGCTCTGCAGCTGGGTGTTGGAGCCACGGAAGAATGTGGTGGCTGAGGCCTTTGGGATGACACCACCAGTCGATCGCAGGACATTGCTCCTATTAGTCCTCACTGTCAAACGGCTCTGATCCCGTCTCATGGTCTGGTACTCTCTGCTTTGGCAGCAGGTTCTGAGGAGCGGGGAATTCGTGACAGTGGATGAGATGGGTAGACCCCTCGTCTGCGGAGCCACCGGCACAGCCTTGGACTCCTGGAGTAAACGACGTCTCCGGTGCTCACTAAAAGTTCTAGTGTGTGGACTCCTATTGGTAGGAATGTACTCGGGATCCTGACTGAACCTGGGATTTTGGTAGAAGGTCTGGAAGGAGGGCTTCTTCACAAGCGGCGGCGGAGTTGGTGGCACTGGCCTCTGATAATTCTGGATCGGATAAAACGGTTTGTCGGCATAGCGAAAGTTGTACGACTGAATTTTGAAGGGGTCTCCGTGGAAGACATCGCTCGCATTGCAACGCGATGGATCTGTCACAAAAGAAGGCCCTGGGAATTAGTTTTGACACAGTTTGGACTTAAATCCACACTAAACTCACACAAAAAACGATTCATTTTGGGCAGGTAATTTTAAACTTTCCGAGGTCGTTGGGCCAAAGAGATTGCGAGTTCGAAGATTTTTATTTAGAAAATATTTAAACGAGTCCAAATGGAAATTTTTTTAGTTTTAGAACCGAAAACCCAGGTAACTTTGGTTCTCGGTTCTGTCGAGACTTGATTCGCTCCTATAAACCCATTAAAACCTTTTGGCAATACGGCGTAGCAACTGGATGGCAATAATGGGCACAACTCCAACCAAACCGGAGACCCACCTTCCTTAAGCAAATCAATTTCATATTCAAGTTGTTAAAGTTAAATTAAAGTAACTATATAATCAAAAAATCTTGTAAAATTGTTGCCCACATAGCACACTCACAAGTTATCTGACAAAATAAGGGAATTATTGATAAGCTTTTGGTACCAAATGGTACGCGGAATATAAAAACCTTTCCATAGAAAACAAATACTTTTAGAGGGCCTATACGCGAACACAATTTTGAATATATTAAGTTGCATTTTATGTTTTCGATTATCTAGTGGGGAATGAAATCGCTAAATTGAGTGTTTTATAAATGTTACCTATAAACTTGTAGAACTACTTGTAAAGTCTTCAACTCTTCCCACCCAAAGTTTAAGCCTCTTCCTCATAAGTATTACCGACTTCATTCCCCCACTTAACCCGATCAACTTGGATCATTAGGATATTGTCGCAAGACACTTGAATGGCTGCAAGTGTCTTTTTGCGTTGTGATAGAAAAGATCATGTAAAATCCTCTTTATTGCACAAATCCATAGTTATTGGACCACTAAAAGCATTATTTTGCACGCGTATACCCAAAATATTCGTACTCCATATTGTAAAGGAAAATAACTCTGTAATGACCGAAAAAGGCACAAGAAGGCCAACAAAATGTAGTTAATCGCAGGTATACAATGAGGTTATATTGACAAACTGTATATACGAATAGCTGAAATACTTGCTGATTATCATCGTTGTTCCATTGTTGTGAAACTTAACCTACTAAAATAATAATATAGATCGAATCATAGCACACGAGAAATTCTACGTTGTGTTCGTTATGACTTTTCACGCTTTGAAGAATTGCCGAATTCAATCATGCAACACGCGTTTTATAACTAAGGGACTCTTCAAAAATTGCATAATATAGCCACTTTTACATACATATGTAGTACAAAGACATTGTACAGGGTATGCAACTCCAAAGTACATATGATATTTAGCAAAAGGTTTTGTTCAGTTTTCATAAAGATGTTGTGTAAGTTTATGCTTCAAGCCCCCCTTCCGGGGGCCCAGCATTCAATATAAACGTGTGAATTAGACAATATAGCTTCTAACTGAATAGTGCAGCATACTCAATATATAATTCGTAATCAGTCGTTATTGTTGCCTAACTATGTTCAAATGTTGCATAAGTGTTATGAAATTAACAATCCAAAAAAGCTGGTATGGGGTCAAACAAACAACAATGCTAAAGCAGCTAACCAAAGCGTTTTGTGCACAGTATTTAAATATTCGAAACTATTATTAAATTGATATACTTAACGTTTACTGTATGTATTTGCTAACTAAGATAACCGCACACACATACTCTCTCTCAAAAGTTCGTATTCGAATGACCGCAAAAAAACTATAGTTTAGCGCGAGCATATTAGTCAAAATAAACAGAGTATTTAATATGGATAGCAGGGCATATATTAATATAACACGAGCTACTAACTATATGTACTATAGTCCTTTAACGATTATCACATTTTTATTCAAACCTTGAAACTATGTGTACTCATGTCATGCCATGCCATGTTTATAGGGTGAGAACCGGGAGAAACCAGAACACAAACATACATATATACTATTTATAAAGACCAATGGTGACCAAGTAGAATATATAACTATACTAAACAAAATTATATGCGAAACTAAAATACCAACTATCTATACAATCAACTAAAATATGTATAACCTATACACTAGTCATTCGACATATGTTTATTTCATAGAGATATTGCTAACTAAGCTGATACCGATATCGGAAAACCAAACGAAATTGCGTTGAGTTTAATATACTCGCCCATCATATAAATTGGAAACAATGCAAATGCAAAATACAAATATGTAACTGAAGTTGTTGGTGAATAAACAAGCTACAAAACATTACCCGTCTTTCAATTAGTGTTTAAGGGACATTAAACTTTATTGAGTCTTTATATTATTTACATCCACTTCAAGGAAAAGTTTTTTACACAATCAGTTGAAATTACAACAAAGGGGTTATTCAAATTAAAATGTTCTTATATCTGAAATTTGCTATGTATGGTATATACATTTTGTGTTTAGATTATTTTAAAATTGTACACTTTACTTTAAGGTCAACTTTTAGAAAGCCAAAAAATAGAATAGAGTAGGGAAGAAAGTCAAGAACGCTTTGAACTTAAAAACTAATTCATGTGTGACTAAAGTGGCAGCCCTAAGAAGCTGCCTTGGACTCATCTAGATGAGAAGTGTCGTGCTTTTCCTTAGCAAAGGTGATGATTTGGTTCAGGCTTTCACCCAGTTCCTCCATCACTTCGCGTTCCGTGTCCTCGACGGGCATATTCTGTTTCTCGTGCATCACAATCCGCGATATCATGCACATGATGGTCGCCTCAATAACATCATCCGTCAAATACACATTTGCGCGGTTATCGTGCGAATGCTTATCGTTCGCTTTGTCCTTTTTTGTGTTCTTCGTCCCCATCAAGCCATCCAAAGAGTCCATGTCCACATCCGGCCGATCTTCCATGTTTCGACAACCTGCATGGCGTAGGTGTAAGTTAGTTAAATTAAAGTTAACAAATGACTAGTTTTTGTACTTACCCACGCATTTACATATGCTGGTGCAGGGAATCTTTGCTTCATAGCACTCGCAGTAATTCTTAAGGCAGCCCGATCGTTTGCAGTTGCAGCCCTTGTTATGCAGTCGCATGTCCCCTGAATTGGGAGCCGTAATTTTGGGCCTGTTTGAAAAAAAGAATAATTATTGAAATTAATTAATTAATTATTAATCAATAGATGTCATTTTAATCTACTATACTACGTTAAAAACACTTACTTGAAGGCGCTAGGGTTGCGATCGAGGCAACTGCGAATTGCTCGCTCACGCTCAACTTCGTAGTCCAGATTGTTAAAGCAATCCTTGCACGTGCAGTCCTGGCAGAATTCCCCGTTGGCGAAGCAGTCGCAGTACAGCTTCAAACACTGCGACTTGCTGCAGTTGCAGTGCTTTCGGCGCGTAGTCATACCGCCTAGAGCATCGACGGTGGGTGCTGCCCCGGGTACCGGTGGCTTCAGGATGTCGAAGAGTGGCTTGGCAGGACCAGTTGGTTTCTGAATGGGAGGCTGTGTCGGAAGCTTTGGTTCCACCTTGATCGACACTGTTTGCATCTGCTGCTGCCTTATCCTCTGCTTGGCCTGCGCCTGCAGTTGCATGTGTTTTGTTTGCTGCTGAGGATTCATCTGTTTGAAGCGATGCTGCTGCGAGGATATGGATAGCGTTCGCCGCAACTTGTTGTCCACATAACCAGTGTATCCCCGCCGCATGGCGCTGGTCGATGACTGCGGCACACCCGAGTTACAGATCATGTACTTGACCCCATTATTGGTGCCCGTCGATTTCACAATGTTGTAGATTTTCTTTGGGGCATTGGGACTGGTGTTGCTAGCCACAACCCGCTGCATATTCGTTTGCCGTCCGATAACCTTTTGAGCTGACTGCGAACCCTGCTGTGTTCCTTGCTGCATGGTGATCACGTATCGCGGCTTCTTAGCCTCCGGGCCCGCATCGCTACTGTCGCTGGCATCACTGCTGGCGGAGGCCAAGTGCATATTGAGATCAATTAGCCGGTTCTTGCGTGGTGACTCCTGGCTACCACTAGGGCTGCCGCTACTGCTGCTGTTGGTCGCACTGGCTAGCTTGGGGGTATTCGTGTTGGCGCCCAGCGCACGCTATGAATAGGAAATTAAAGTTAAGAGACTATACATGCGTAAATAGACTACAATACACACCTTGGAGACCAACGTCTGCATCGAGGGGAGCGGTACAATGCTGCCGCCCGTTGTCCGCATTACAATCTTGTTGGTGTTACCCAAGGAAGGGCTTGCCTTTGGCGCTGCTGTTGCTGCAGCCACTGCCGGTATTGGAGTAGATGTGACTGGTGTAGTAGCAGCAGATGTGGCAGCCGGTGACCGCACCACAGTGATCTTCTGGGTTTGCATGGTCTTCGGCACAGTCACTGTTGCACTCGATCCTGCGGCACTCTTGTTGTTGGTCAGCACGCGTACATATTGCACTCCTCCCTTGCCGGGAAGCTGAATAGCATGCAATCCACTCGTGGGAGATGCTGCCTGTCCTCCCGTCGTGTTGCTGATCGTACTGGTGGCCCCCGCTTTTGGTGACAGCTTGATGATGTTCTTGCTGGACACAAGAATCTGTTTTCCCCCGCTCTGCACCAACATCTTGCCGGGTGTTGCGCTTGTCGTTGTACTGGCAACGGACACCGTCGTGGTTGCAGCTTGCTTCACAGGAGCTGTGGTCTTCAGCACCACCTGACCAACGGATTTGCCGACCACCACATTGCTAGTGGATGGCGATAGTTTGACAGCATTGGCGGCGGAGGTTCCTCGGGGGGCTGAAGTTCCAACTACTGTTTGTTTGGCATTTAGCAACACCGAGGAAGTCTGGTTGATCTTGATGATCTTGCCATCGGCAGTACGCACCACCTGGATTTTGGAAGGCTGTGCCGAGGTTGAGCATGTGGGCGAAGTGACAGGAGACGCCACCTTTGCACTGCCTCCGGCCAGCGGTGTGATGCCCTTGATGGTGAAGGTCGTGGAGGAGGAGCTGGAGGAACCGGTTGTACCGGTTGTGACTACTTTGCCCGGCACCGCCGCCTTGACCAGACCAGTGTTCGCCAGAGTCATGCCCTTGGAGAGGACCGCCTTCTGTATGCCCGCCGGCGCAACGAGACGGCGTATTCCTCCGCCTGGTGAGCCGGCCACCGTGGCTTTAGTCTGTGTTCCGGGCACCGATTTCTGGACGAAGATTACCCGGCCATCTTGCGTCTTGATCGGGGTCAAGTTGCTCAGCGTCTTGGTGATGGAGCCCGTCGTTGATGTATTGGCAATAGTGGTGCTGCCGATCTTAACGGCATTGCTGGGTATTGCTTTCAGATTGTTAAGGATCTTGAGGTCCTTAATTTGCGGCTTGACAGGAGAAGTGGCCCCAGCAGTCACCACTTTGATGGCGTGCGACTTTAAGACGGTAACTCCGGGTGAAGGCAACCGCTTGTCCTCCAGTATGTGCACCACGTTCTTCTTGAACTGCGGCGTGTTCAGGGAATCGTTGGCCGGATCGGCCAGCTCATCTCCGTCGATGTCATCATCATCAGAGTCCAGGGCATCGATCTCCATGTGTTGGGAGCTCTTGTCCGACGTTGGCTCCAAAAAGTCTTCAAAACTTAGCTCGGGCAACGGCTCCGTGTCGTCCAGGGAATCTGCGGGTGAAATCTGGTATTATTCACACTGCGAATTATAGTTTACGGTGTTTAAATATACCCGACAAGTACTCTACGCGGTAGTTACTCATCTTTGTCAAATTTCAATTCAATTTCAAAATGTTCTTTATCATCAGCTGCGGTCAAGGCGGTTGCAACGGCACGTCTCTCAACACTGAAAATGTGTGTTTGAAAGCGTATCTATTTCGATTTTGGTGGGTATCTATTTCCGATACCGATACAATGAGCGATAGGCAATCGATTACGGGCGCCGAAATGTAACATTTCATTTGTTTTCCAGTAGAGATAAAATCTAGTTGATTCATTAATTAGGTATCTAGATAATTTAGACTGTCAATAATCAAACATGATGATTAGTGGAGCACTTGACAATAAATATATACTAACTTTACTTTACCAACATGTATGGTTTTTACATCTTAAACTTGAGTACTTCTTGTTGCAGAAACGAATAATCTAAACTTGAATCTAAATCTCAAATTTTAGTGGGGTTTGATTTTATTTTACTCGACTGATTGGAGCGCCAACAACTTATACAATATGCATAAAAATCGCTTAAGAATATGATTTTAGTTAATGACTGACAGCGTTTGGGGACTCTACTTCTTGGCCGCCACCTTCTTCTCACGGGCCTTCTTGCCCTCCGTCAGCTCCAATCGCTGCGATTCAGTCAGGGCGGACATGGTGTTGGTAACGACTCCGGTGCCCAGCGTCAGGCTGCCGTCGCGCAGGGTGAAGCGCTGGCCCTGTTCCAGGACCATGGGCCGGATGAGGCGCAGGATCAGCTTGGTGTCCTCGCCGGGCATGACCATCTCTTTGTCGGGAATCTGGACCTGCACAGCGCAATCCCAGGTGCGCGAGAACATCTGCAGCTGGATGAAGGACATGAAAGGCTTGGTGCGGCCGCCCTCTTCCTTGGAGAGGATGTACACCTGGGCCTCCAACTGGTCGAGAGCCTTCACACTGCCCGGCTTGCACATGACCATGCCGCGCTTGATGTCATCCCGCTTTACGCCGCGCACAAGCGCACCAAGCTGGTCACCGGCCTGGGCCTCCTCCAAGATCTGGTGAAACATTTCCACGCCCGTCACCGTCGACTTCAGCACCTTGTTGTAGCCCACGAACTCGCACTCCATGCCCTTCTTGACCACACCACGCTCCAGGCGTCCAGTGACCACGGTGCCTCGTCCGGGAATCGAGTACACATTCTCCACGGGCAGCAGGAACGGTTTGTCCAGCTCGCGCACTGGCGTGGGAATGAAGCTATCCACCTCCTTCAGCAGCTGCAGGATCGCCTCCTTGCCGATCTCGGGGCTCTTGTCCTCCAGGGCGCACAGCGCCGAACCTTTCACCACGGGAATCTTGTCGCCGTCATAGCCCATCTCGGTGAGCAGCTCCCGGATTTCCATCTCCACCAGCTCGACCATCTCCTGATCGGCGGCGTCCACCTTGTTGATGAACACAACAATGTGATCGATGCCGATCTGCTTGGCCAGCAGCATGTGCTCGCGGGTCTGAGGCATAGCACCATCGGTGGCGGCCACCACCAGAATGGCGCCATCCATTTGGGCCGTGCCGGTGATCATGTTCTTGATGTAATCCGCATGACCTGGGCAGTCCGTGTGACCGTAATGCCGCGTTTCCGTCTGGTACTCCACGTGGGCCACATTGATGGTGATGCCGCGCGCCTTCTCCTCGGGAGCGTTGTCGATCTCGTTGTACTTCTTGCTCTCGGCCAGCTGCTTGTCGGCCAGGACCTTGGTGATGGCCGCCGTGAGGGTGGTCTTGCCGTGGTCCACATGGCCAATGGTGCCCACATTGCAATGTGGCTTGGTGCGCTCGAACACCTTCTTCTCGTTGGCGTACTTGCGGAGGTACTGCTGCTGGTTGCCGATGCGGGGGGCAGAAAGTAATCCGTTGCGCTGCCAGTCCTTGCAGGCAGTTGATGAGGCGGTGGCGGCCGCCAGGCGTAGAGTCCTTGCGGAGCTCATGGCCCGCCGGCTGCAGCGCAGGGCCAAAGACATGGATGCGGTGGACCGGCAGACGGCGGCGGCAAATGCGTGCGACATGGTACTGGGCTTTTGCTGGCTCTCCTCTGGGCGCTTTTAACTGAAGATTGGGATTGGGATCAGCGCTTCAGATGGGGGAAACTTCAGCTGCACTTATGGGTTTAGATTAAGCTGTCCTGGCAGTGGCAAAAGGCCTTTTCACGGGTCGAGGAAAATCTTATGGCCCGAAATTGCGTAAACCCTGAAATGTGCTGTGCGCTGGAGCTGCCACCTCGTGGTGGTTTTTCGATAGACATACGACATATCGATAACTTATATTATTTTTAGCCAAAGGTAATATTTTTAAAATTATTCCTAAATATTAATTAATTAAGTTAGGTCTAACTATTATTATAAGTTATATTTAATGTTAAATTTAATGTTTTTTGCTCTGACCCTTTTGCATAAGTACTTTAAGAGGAGTGGCAACGCCTTCCGACGTTATTATTTTGTGCGCGTTTTTTGTCACCCATTAAACACCCACCTTGCCAAGCAACCACAGATAATAAGCTCTAGAAGATATTTGCAGAGCTCCCGGATTTACTTAAAGGACCTGCCAATGCTTTACTTTCCCTTTTTGTGGGCAAACAACAACTGCCCCCAAGACTGTACCCCAATAAAAACACCAATACACTCAAGCACATGTCTATGTGTGTAACTAACTATCTGGCTACGCTGTTTCATAAGATGTTCCCAGATCGTTAAAAGCACTTCTCGTTTCGTCAGCAGAGTGCAAAAACTTACAATAAATCTAAATTCAAAGCCATTGCCAAAAATATGCAAATCGAAATGGCATAAGGGTACATAAATCCGCTTGGCGATTGATGCGCAGAGGGTTAAATAGGTAAAGGGGGGCCAATAAATCAAGGGGAACAATTTGCGCGCCAGCGGACGGCCAACTGCCATGCCAAGTACACGCTGTACCAGAGGTTGAAAATTCAATTTGAAATACGAAATGACCAGATCCTCACCCAAATTGCCGCCACTGGTGTCCATGCTTAGTCCTTAATGCGTCTTTTGTGCCTTTGGAAGAGATAGCAATTAAACTTTGTCTCTGTTTTGATAGCAGTGCGCGGCCACTGCGGCAAAACAAAAAGAAATCTGCACTCGTAAATGTGAATGCGTTGAACTCAAAGGGCGTCGCGGGCGAACGAAACGGTTGAGAGGCTATTAGTCACTGCGGTTAGATGCGCGGCGCGATATCACTGCTATTTGCACTTTCATTTGGCGGCCTTATCAGCGCGTATTTACAATTGAATACAACAGCAAATTCAAAATTCAATTTAAATTGCCGTCGAGTGGACTTCCATTACATTTATGAATGGGTGGGACCGTAGAACGACCGTTAAAATATACCTTGGTACACTGACAAATATACCGAAATATGTCCAAAATATACTGAAAAATACCATAAATATACCACCAATACAGAAAGATAACGCCTCAGCAAATACTTAAACCTATATTTTGAGTTTAAAATTGAATTGAAAAACTATGAGATTGCTAGATAACTTTAAGCCCCGAGGACATATATTAATAAGCTTCTAGGGATATATTTAACAAGACTAGAAAATATTGAAGAAGTTCCTTAAAAATTACTTAATAAATCATTTTAAGATGAACAGTAAAAAAAAAATTCTACAAGATTTTTCTAAACTTGAACTTAATTAAGAATTACCAGGACGACAGATGATATTTCTTCTGATTTGTAATAAATACATAAATAATGAATTCAACAAACAAATTGCCAAACTCTGTTTACGAAAATTATCAGAAATTTCAATCTTAATAAGACCCAGACTTTAAATTCGTTATTTATTTATTCCTTTATCTGCATATAATACATATATCAATATAATTTAGATAATTTATTAGAAATACGATATGATTCAATTTCCACAAAACAAAATCGCCGAATATTTAAAACGCCAAATGTACATTTTAACATCTTAAATAATTAAAACTTAATGGCATTCCGTAATAAAACATTAACCTATAAAATAAACATATAAACAATTCTACAAAAGATTTAAGTTCTAAAATGAACAACACTACATGAACTCGTGGGAGGGACGCAGATTGACCCGTCGGTTTCGCAATGTGTAGGTCCGAGGGGTCCCGTCGGGCTGAGCCGTACCGGGGTTCTGCTCCAGGGATCGGCGCTCCGTGGACGCCTCCAGCGACATGTCCTCCTCGCAATCTTCCAGTTTGTCGGCGCCTACTATATCGTCGTTACTGATGTTGCCCTCCTCAAAGGTGAACTGAAAGCGGCGCACGCTCTTCTTGGCGCTGAAGAGGACCCCGCGGTTCTGGCGTTTGGTGGTGCCCGGTGTTTTCAGGATGGAGGTGCGCGGTTTCTGCGGTGGCGTCCTGGCAGCATTCTGCTCTGCGGCCGCAAGAAGTGCAGATTTCAGGAGCGCATTGGGAGCAATGGACGGACGTCCCTCGCCAGTCGACATGCGGAGTACGGTGCGGGCGGGCGAGAAGGACCTGCGGTTGCGCACCACGATTAACCGTGGCGAGCTGTGTCGCGAGGATGTCGAGGGATCAGCATCGTCCATTGTCGGCTCCTCCACCTTGGTCTTCTTCATGTTGGCATGGGCTTTGCGAAGGAACTGCTGCAGATTGCTGCTGGGCTTGGCCTTCGACTTGATCTTCATGGTGCGACTAACCTTGGGCTTCAGCAGAGGCTTGGGCTGATTAATTTCTACTGCCCGTGCATCCGGATCGAGCCAGTCGTTGGCCCTCCAACGCTTTAGGTTCTCGAAGCGCTTGTCCACGTTCTCGCTCTGCAGACGCAACATGTCCCACCAGCCCTCCAGATCCTCCGCCTGCACCGGCTTCGTGTCCTCGCTACCATCGTTCGGCTGGCGATTCTTGCCAATCGCGCCATCTTCGCAGCGATCGATAAGGCCGCGAAACTGCATCATCTTTTTGGTGGTCAGCAGTCGCGTCTGGCCGATGGTCACGTTGATCATGTCAATGCCACCCGTTTCCTGCAACCGTGTCTCGTTCTCCTTGCTGTACGTTTCCCACTCGATGCAGAGGCCTTGGAGGCGAGTGATCTCATTCTCCAACTGCAGGCGGAAATACAGAACGGATTCAATGGCCCGGCGGACTTCCAACGGTGACTCCACGTCGGGCAGGTAAAAGCTATTCCGCTTTTCTTTTTCGCATCGCGAGTTTACCTTTCCGCGCGAGACACTCACAAACGGGCTGAGATAGTTGGGCTTTCCATCGGATACGCGGCGTGGCGGCGTCTTCTCCACTGCCGGCACCAAAGTGGAATCTCCAGCGTCTTCTCCTGTAACTAAAGGGAATGTGTAATTGCAGTTGGAAAAATATTACACCTGCACTCACCCGTGGCCTGTTTTGGGTCCAAGATCAGCGAATCCTCCGCCGGTGAATTAGCCACAGAGTAACGCGTAAAGTCGAATTTTTTCTTCGCCACCGGCATCGTCACCTCGGGCTTAACCGTAGGCAGCAACTGCCTTTTCACAGTACTGTCGCCTTCAGTTTTGGTCGGTGCCACTGGACTCATGCTGTCATCAAAAGCGTCCAGAAGACTGCTGCTGCCATTGCCGGACTTGCACTGCGTGGATGTCGCCTGTGCGAGGAAGGGATTCTCATCGTGGTCTTCGTCTAGAGGCGTGAGAGGCGGTATCTGTAGCGTGGCTGCCTGCAGCAACTCGGCCTTGAGCTGAGGATTCTTTCGCGTGTTCTCCTGGAGCTTAGTATATTGGCTCTTTGGCTTGTTGGCCTTCATGCGCAAGGTGTGACTGACAGCTTTGTTGGCCATTCCAGCGGGAGCCTTGAATTTTGCCGCGGCACCACCACCGCCTCGAATGGGCTGTGGCTTCACTACGTTCGCCGGACGTATCATTGGGGCTCTGCTCACCGCAGGTTTCTCGAACGGAGCCCTTGGGGCAGTAGAAAACCTTGGCCTTAAGCTGTTCCCTGTTTGGTGTAGCCGTACGGTGGCTGTATTCACTTTGTTCAGCGACGCAGGCGTGGATCTGGAAATCATGGTGACCTTCTTCACCTCATTTGCTGGGGCCGTATTCAGTCTGGGCTTGAGACTCGTAGTTTGCGTCCTGCTATTACTAGAGGCATTGGGTAGGGGTCGCATAGCTGCTTTCTGCCTGGCCAAAGCCACTGGATTGGTCGTCAGAGGAGTTACGGATACGGGTTTTGTTGCTGGCGTTGCCGCTTTATGTCTTGCCAAAGCCACTGGATTGGTGGTCAGAGGAGCTGTAGGCACTGGTTTTAATACAGGAGTTGTAGCCGCGTGTTTTGTAGTTGGTGGAGCTGCCGCCGCTGGCTTGTGAAAGGAAGGAGCTGCTGGCCTAGACTTGTTTGCCATAGGAGCAGCATGCGCTTGCTTGTTCACCGGAGGATTATAAGTCGCTGGCTTGGTTGTCCCGGATGATTTGCTCTTGCCCTTACAAAGATTGGCAATAATGTAGAGCGAGCTGCGCTTGTTCGGCTGGAAAACGGGTGCATCCTCCATCTGCTTGGTAGTACCGAGGTTTTCGGGAGCCCGAAATAATTTAGAGTTGGGAAAAGCCTTTGCCTTTGACTGATTGGCGAGCGGTGCATTTATGGCTGCCCCACGACGCAACTGCTCCCGCTGTTTGTCATCATTGTTCTTGGCAGCCTTCCACCCCATGTAGCGCTTTAAATAGGCCTCCTTGCGGGTTGATTTTGGGTTGGATTGTGCCAAGGGCACCTTCTCCTTGTTTGGCGGTGGCTGCTCAAGGCCCTGTTGACCGGGGGCAATATTTTCCTGGGGTTCAATCTCTTGGGCTGCCGGTGATGGCTTCATTTTGACGGGCGTGGGACTCACACTGATTATGCGGTTCTGATGAAAGCAATCCTCCCGCTTTTTGGCGCGCGCCGCCTGCAGACGATCCCTGTTCTCCTGGCAGTGATTACGCGGACTCAGCACCAGCGATTGCTCCTTGTACAGTTCTTTGTGGCGCTGCATGGCTTTGGCGACGACAGTGAAAAAAGGGACGAGGCAATACTAAGCGTCCTGTTGGAATTGAATAGTATTGCTGATTTTCCGGCGGAGCGTCTCCTATTTCGTATTTTAAAATGGCGAAGCGTCTTTCAGTGTGACCAGCCGAAAGAGTTAAAAAAATACTCTGCGTATATTTAGGATTCACTAAATACTGACTAATGTGATTGAGCATTTCCCTGGTAAAATTGAGCGACCTAGCAACGGTCACGCTGCTATGAAAATAAAAGTGAATTACAAATTTAGCAGTAGAAATAAGTAACTAAACCGCTCCCCGCGCTTAATTAGTGTCGCTTAAGCTTGTAGCCACCCCCGCCTTTAAAATAGTGAACCCTGCAGCCGTCTTGCAAACACATAAAAGGCAAATAAAATTCGCCGAAACTTGTACACATATAAATACAAGCGCCGCGTGTGCAAGTGTGTGTGTTTATTGGGGTTACAAAAAATAAAACAAACAACAACGTCACCGCGGCAGCATTGCCAACAGCAAGCACCCACGCCCTAGATTGTTAATGTATATTTATCGCCAAATGCTCGCATTGTGTGCTATTGAAAACATAGAAAATAGCACAACAACAAGTTATTGCCTGCGCCTAATTGCTTTTGCGGTACCTGCTTTTCCCCGAATTTCAAAATTGGACGCTGCTGGCAACGCTGCCACGCTCACACACACGCACACCCACACAGTGAGGGGAGAGCAAGAGAGCGGCTGTCATTCTCTGTTGCTCCGCTGCCTGGGAATGTCGTTGTCGTCGGTGTCGGTGTATTTTTAATCGCTTTTCTCGCCTTCGCCTAGCCCCAAAATATTATTATTAACCAGAAAAGCGCCCTGCCGAATATCCATGATTTATTGTTTATATAATGCGCGCAAACTAATCACGGATTCGTTTCCATTTCCACAGCACTAGTGAGCAGTGAGTGAGAAAGAGAGAGAGCGGAGAGAATTCCAAACTGCCTGTGTGTGTTGTGCAGTGCGAGTGTGTGTGTGTGTGGTGCATCAAGGCTGATAATACTAAATCTAAAACTAAAACTTAAATTAAAATAAACTCCAAAAGCGTTAGCAATTACGCACAAAGCAGCAGCAGCAATATACAACACAAAATGGAAGCGATTGCCAAACACGATTTCTCCGCGACGGCCGACGACGAGCTGAGTTTTCGCAAAACTCAAATCCTAAAGGTGAGTCCCCCCGTCATAATATCTGGATTTATTCATAGACTTTGTGTGGGGAGGGTGGTGGAAGACGCGGGGGCTGGGCAGGACCTGCATGCATAATCTCCAGCGATGCAGTTGCTCCAGGTCGTTGCCTTAACCCACATCCCAGGCCCCAGACGGATTTGGTTACTAAATCCCGACAAACAGGAGAGGTGGCAGATACTCGTAAAAGCTGGCAAAAGCGGTTCAAAAGGTGCATCCGCAGAAAACAACACGAAAAGAATACGGCCAATGACTCAACGAAGCTTGAGTTCCCTATAAAATCTCCAGATAAGATTGGACATACTTAAATATTGACACCAAAAGGGGAAATATTTCGGTTTCACATAATTACATTTTATGTATTTTTGTTGCCTTATCAATGAGTTTTAAAAACCACCTCCGCTATCAATGAGTTTTACAAAATATTCAATATTTATTTCCGAGTCATTTTACCTTAAATGCAGTAAGTTATCAAATCTCGTCACAAAACAAATGTTTAAGTTTTCAATATTATTACAATATTTTAATTAAGGTTGGTATTTTTAAAAAACAATTCAAATTTTATGGCTTAACCATTTTTGTATGTTGTTGATTGGTTATTACAATATACATTTCACTTTTTTCATGCTGTGATATTAAAAAATAACATGCCTGATAATAACTTAACACTGATAAATTATATTCACTTTATAAAATGGTTCAAATTTATGGAGTTTTTTATTTGTTTAACCGTTCAGAGAATCTTTTATTACACAGCTGTTTTAAAAATCATTAGATGCGTTATTCAAAAAATAATTTCCATGATCATTTTTCGGGTGCAATTGAAGCTTTTGCGAAACTTTGGGAGGCACATCCGATCTGAGCTCGGGCAGTATTAGTTTCTGGCAAGGAAAAAGGCTGCGATTCGATCTTTTTCGCCGTTGCCTTCCAGGTGTTTGTGTTGGCTGTCCTAGGCCAGGCCCTTTGTTTTGGCTGGCGAATTTTCCGGTTTCTTGTTGCCAGGGCCGCAGTAAGCTGATTTTCGTTGCTGCAACTGCAGCAGTTGTTGGTGTGTCTACCTTGTCGTAGGTTAGTCACAGCAGGAACCCAGGCCTATGGCAGGTTTTTTCCCTTTTGCATTTTTTCCATATGCTGCTGCGGCTGATTGATGGTGTCAATGACTCGCCGAAGAAGCTTCTTTATCGCTCCCCGAAGGTCAAGTGTGTGCATTGCTCTCGTCCATTAGAGGGGTCTACTTAGTGGACACCAAGAGCTCCCAAGTTGACTTCCTCCCTAGTCCGGGCTTATCAGTCCGTAAACAACCCGCACTGATAGTGCAGTTCGTTTAACCCAACTATCTTTGCGGCCATTACCGGTTAGGGCGATCGAGCTAGGAAAACCGAGAGATGTGAGATTATCGCCGGAGATATGACTACGAGTTCGAACTTCGAAGGCATTTGTTTGCCTTTGCTTAGTCACCCAATGGCCTTATCCGAACAGATTCCCAGCCCACCAAACACACAGATACAGCGATAGAGAGAGGACCCGTGAATCATCATACATTTCATTTGGTTTCTTTATAGAAACTGGTTTTCAATACAGCGATTTTCTTCGATATTTTGAGTTTAAATTTCTGGGAACTCTACCTTGAATTCTAACGGATTTGTGATACCAATGGTAGCTACGTTTTATCATAGCAAACAAACGAAATGAAATTCTAAGTTCAACTTTCGCTTGTAGCGAAAACAACGAAAAGTGAACGTTCGTGTCGCTTTGACACTTTCCAGCGTAGAACCCGAATCCACAAAAGCATTTTTCTCTAGTAATTACATAAACATACGAGAATAAACAATTGATAATAACAATCATGGCCACTACGTGCCAGCTTTCCGAGAGCGCCGCGAAATATTTATGCATTACCCAACTACCGGGCACATTCCCTGTACTGAAAAAAAAAGTTTAAAGTCTAACAAGTTATAAAACTGGATAATATAAGATATGAAGTACTTTAAATATCTGTTTATGTACCTGTGTGCTTAGACAAAAACTAGTTGCTCAGTGATGTTTGGCAGATGTCTTTTATTATTATTGCATTATTAGATTGATTTTATCTGGGTTTTCAAGTGTAATTCCTAATTATAAATATTATTGTGTCAAAATAGTTATTATCTCATGTTTAAAAAAAATTCATATTGATTTTTCTGTGTGTAGGGCAGCGAGAAAACTTTCTGTAATAAACGACGAATCCGTGGAAATGAATTTCTCGGCGGGCTGTTTTCAATGAATGAAACAATCTAAAAATAAGATAAATATACGATGAACAATGTCTGGGTGACAGATGCGGGCGGGATCGGTTATGGGGGAGGATTAGAACTATGGGGCTATGCCAATTAGTCGGAGCCGATCCAGCTGAGCTGGCCAAATCCCACTGCCACTGCCAACAGCGAAAACAGTAATTGAGTTTTACATAAGCTGGAATCGACTGTGACACCCCCACTCCACCCGAAGCCCTCCCACTTTCCGATGTGCGAAAATTTAACCAAAAAAAAAACAGAAAGTTATTGACTCGACTTTGGGATTCCCTTTAATTAATATAATATTCATTTTATACCTAAAAAAAACCATTTTTATTTATATTTTCTTTTCTAACCTAACCTAATGCAATACATATATTTTATTTAATATTTCACATTATAGAAAGTATCCTTTTGCGCTGTTTATCACATTATATGATAGCCAACAGCCCTTTGAAGTTTCCACTTAATTAAAAATATGTAAAGTCCGATGAGGCATTAATGGGAAAATTACATGTATGACGCATAGCTTCTTGCAAGTTAAGAAACCCAACAACCCTTTAACTACTTAGTATCTCCAGGGGTGTTGTGACTCATTTAAATGACATTCCATTATTTCAACTTGACGAACAAACGTTATTGGGCAACAACAAACCTGCCAAATAACTCAATTACTCAAGGAAAAATCCGTTGGCGATAAATACGAGAAATACATAAAAATATTTACGTATTAACTTAAGGCTTCTTCTAGTTAACAGGAAGGCGTTGCTTGGGCGGAATCCTGACCTTAACACAATAAATACATTTTCTAAGTATTTGTGGGAGGATTTCCTTGGGAAAAACAAACAGAGGGCGAAATATGAAGGCTGTTGGAGGGCGGTTTTGAGTTCAGGTGTGTGGAGGTCGATGTCAACCGATTCATTCATGAAAAAGCTCCGCTCAGCACCTTCAAATCTGGGAATTCCCATCGGCAATGCAAACAGCGAGCGAGACCTTTTCAGAGATACGAAATTCAATTTTGTCTGGCAATCGAAAGAAATCATAAAAGTCTCCGATTACGAAGGCTACTTGTTGTGTCATTGGCATGCGAAATGGGCAAACAAAACAGTAGCTGGGGAAAAGTCCATTAGATACACAAAAGTGAAATTCGCCCACTCGAGCCCCGTTTTACTTAACATTCTTATCACATGTCCGCCATAATGCTTGTTTATTTTTATCTTCCCGCAAGAAACGGATATGAGAATAGGGGTTATAATAGATATGATTCCCATAGCGTAAGCCTATCTTCATTGCCCGCCGTTGATTGCGCACTGACACAGTTTTGGGCCTCTCAATCAACAAACAATTGAAAATTGTTTATCGAAATCTCTGGGGAATCGGGCCAGTCTCCAATAAACAAGGCGGAAGAATGTTTCCATTGATCCCCATTGTCTGGGGCGATTAAAGGGGTGTGGCCTTTAAAATGGAAACAACAGAAGCAGGTTCTTACAAAGCAATTTGGGGGTCCGATTTCTCGTTTTGCATCTGGTGTGTCATTGACAGCAATTAAAATCCCATTATCCAGACTTTTTGGGGTGCATTTACTTAAAAAGATTTACTATACAGCATAGTTTATTCTTTAAAATTCAAAGATAATAACTCACATTTAAACTATCATGATTTCGATGTGGAACAGAAATAACTATTTTAATGATTATTTTGTGTTTACTTGTACAAGTAAAAAAATATTATTTGCAGACATTAGTTATTATTTTTTTTAAAACCCCGTTTTTATACCCTTGCAGAGGGTATTATAATTTTGGTCAAAAGTGTGCAACGCAGTGAAGGAGACATCTCCGACCATATAAAGTATATATATTCTTGATCAGGATCGCCTCCTGAGTTGATATAAGCATGTCCGTCTGTCCGTCTGTCCGTCTGTCCGTCTGTCCGTCTGTCTGTCCGTCTGTCTGTTTCTACGCGAACTAGTCTCTCAGTTTTAAAGATATCGAATTGAAACTTTGCACACACCCTTCTTTCCTTTGCACGCAGTATATAAGTCGGAACGGCCGGGATCGGCCGACTATATCCTATAGCTGCCATACAACTGATTGATAGGAAATGCCATAACTTAAGTGCTTGTAAAGTTAGGGAGTTGAGATTTTCTATGGGTTTTATTTTTGGCCAATCAATTCGACCTAGCAAATTTTATAAGGATCGGCCGACTATATCCTATAGCTGCCATATAACTGAACGATCGGAAATGCCATAACTTTGGTGTTTGTAATATTAGGAAGTTGGGATTTTCTATGGGTTTTATTTTTGGCCAATCAATCCGACCTACCAAATTTCATAAGGATCGGCAGACTATATCCTATAGCTACCATATAACTGAACGATCGTAAATGCCATAACTTTGGTGTTTGTAATATTAGGAAGTTGGGATTTTCTATGGGTTTTATTTTTGGCCAATCAATCCGACCTACCAAATTTCAAAAAGATCGGCCGACTATATCCTATAGCTGCCATATAACGGAACAATCGGAAATGTCATAACATTGGTGTTTTTAAAGTTAGGAAATTGGGATTTTGTATGGGTTTTTTATTTGGCCAATCATCCGACATACCAAATTTCGTCAGGATCTTTTCAGATTTACCTTTAAACCTAATTTAGAATTGTTATTGAGCTTCTGGTACATATAAGAAAATTTGTACTTAGTCATAGAATATGTCATAGAATATGGCTATCATAGCTATCATCATCAATAAAATCAATCAATAAAATTCAACCCCCTCGAACTTTTCCTTATTGGCATTAATATAGAAATAGATTTATTATACCCTTGCAGAGGGTATTATAATTTTGGTCAAAAGTGTGCAACGCAGTGAAGGAGACATCTCCGACCCTATAAAGTATATATATTCTTGATCAGGATCACCTCCTGAGTTGATATAGCCATGTCCGTCTGTCCGTCTGTCCGTCTGTCCGTCTGTCCGTCTGTCCGTCTGTCTGTTTCTACGCAAACTAGTCTCTCAGTTTTAAAGCTATCGGATTGAAACTTTGCACACACCCTTCTTTCCTTTGCACGCAGTATATAAGTCGGAACGGCCGGGATCGGCCGACTATATCCTATAGCTGCCATATAACTGATTGATCGGAAATGCCATAACTTTCGTGTTTGTAAAGTTAGGAAGTTGGGATTTTCTATGGGTTTTATATTTGGCCAATCAATCCGACCTACCAAATTTCATAAGGATCGGCCGACTATATCCTATAGCTGCCATATAACTGATTGATCGGAAATGCCATAACTTTGGTGTTTGTAAAGTTAGAAAGTTGGGATTTTCTATGGGTTTTATATTTGGCCAATCAATCCGACCCACCAAATTTCATAAGGATCGGCCGACTATATCCTATAGCTGCCATATAACTGATTGATCGGAAATGCCATAACTTTGGTGTTTGTTAAGTTAGGAAGTTGGGATTTTCTATGGATTTTATTTTTGGCCAATCAATCCGACCTACCAAATTTCATAAGGATCGGCCGACTATATCCTATAGCTGCCATATAACTGATTGATCGGAAATGCCATAACTTTGGTGTTTGTAAAGTTAGGAAGTTGGGATTTTCTATGGATTTTATTTTTGGCAAACAATCAATCCGACCTATCAAATTTCATAAGGATCGGCCGACTATATCCTATAGCTGCCATATAACTGAACGATTGGAAATGCCATAACTTTGTTGTTGTTAAAGTTAGGAAGTTCGGATTTTTTATGAGTATTAAGAATGCATCATATGAATAATTTTGGAGAATATAATTTACAGAGTATTCTGCAAGGGTATATCAACTTCGGCTCCGCCCGAAGTTAGCTTTCCTTTCTTGTTAAATTTTTTCTTATCGTTCATTTTTTCATCGACAGAGTTTATTTACTGAGAGCCTTTAAAAATTCTTGTAAATTACAAAACTTCAAGCGTAAAAAATACACATATTGTTTTTATCCGTGTAAAATTAATTTGATACAAGAATTGAAATAATTGTTTCATTCGTTTAGTCATTAAAAAAAAAACTCCTTTTACAGATATTAAATATGGAAGATGATTCAAATTGGTATCGCGCCGAACTGGATGGAAAGGAAGGCCTCATACCCAGTAATTACATAGAAATGAAGAATCACGAGTAAGTTGAAGTCGATATAATTTAATTAAATTGTATTTAATCTTAATTTACTTTATAGTTGGTACTATGGCCGGATCACACGCGCGGATGCCGAGAAGCTACTGTCGAATAAGCACGAAGGCGCCTTTTTGATACGCATCAGCGAATCCAGTCCCGGCGATTTCTCCTTATCAGTCAAGTGAGTTTCTTCAAGGGGATTTCTTCCATTTAATACAAATCACTGATGGTGTCTTTATCTCGCAGATGCCCAGATGGTGTTCAGCATTTCAAAGTTCTGCGCGATGCCCAAAGCAAATTCTTTCTCTGGGTGGTCAAGTTCAACTCCCTCAACGAACTGGTCGAATATCATCGGACGGCGAGCGTGTCCCGGTCGCAGGTTGTCAAATTGCGTGATATGATACCTGAAGAGGTGCGTGTACCGACCATTCCGCTGACACTTTTGCCGAATTCACAGGCGGATTCGGTTTAAACCAAGAACAAACGCTATAGTCGAAAGCCTCGACTATAAAATACCCGTTACTTACCTAACTAATTAATCCTGGAGTGCCACTACAACCAAAGATCAAGCAGAATTCACTCTTTTCCGTTTGCTTAAATATAGAATCTCAGTTTTTCTAATAAGCAGTGACGTCATAATTAACACTTAAATTCCTAATAACTTCTAAAATAATTGTTCAATTTGAATTGTTTTTGGTGTGTCCATATACATTGTCTCTACCATGTCCCTACAGAATTTTGCTATTTGTGGGCGTTACAGTGGCGTGGCAAACTTTTGAAATACTCTTGCGATGCGTATGTATTACTAGATTCTGCATGTTAAATTCCAAATCATACAATATACCCTTTTACTCTACGACTAACGGGTATAAATACATATTTCGCGTAACACATTGAGGTCATTCTTTTGCACGCCGCCGCCCACCCATCCTAACTATAAACAAACAGTGATGCCAACAATATTAGATTAGATTCATGATCTTCCACCGATTTCTTATTGCAGATGCTCGTGCAGGCGTTGTACGATTTTGTGCCACAGGAATCCGGCGAATTGGACTTCAGACGCGGCGATGTCATCACCGTCACAGATCGCTCCGACGAGAACTGGTGGAACGGCGAGATCGCCAATAGGAAAGGAATCTTCCCAGCAACTTATGTGACGCCATATCATTCATAATAAGATAACTTCTAAGGAGGGACGCCACACACACCGCTTCCCCTTCCCCGCGGAAACCACAACACACACCCATAACGATTAGACAGCATCATCAGCAACTGCAATAACAGCAAGAGGGACATAAATTCTGTAGACAACGTATACAACACAAGTTTAAGCCTAAAGCCGAATGCATTTTTTACGTTTTGACGTTTTTTGATAAAACATTACAGTACGATAACATTACAACATCGTTTAATAGCAACTGAGTGACACTTTAAACTAGATATGTAAATTTATTTGTGTATATATAGCTGCGGCCGAATAAAGCATTTGATCCGAGTTTTCCTTTGACATCTTCTGAGACAGAGGGCGAAACTCATTGCTAATAACTTGACCGCAACTATAGGCATATGCAAGTATGTCTACATACCAGATGGCACTATTATTATAATTGTAAACAAACGGATTTTTGATATAAATATATAATTTAAGTTCGATAAAGAGAATATTTGTCCTGTGCTTCGAAACGAGTGTTGAGGATTGCCCTAAATGTGCTCTTTAGTTTATTTGATGTTTGACGGAGTGCGTTTCAAAGCGAGTAAACACTTATATTAATATGATTATATTATAACGAATTACCAACCAACCTTATGCTTAACACGTTTTATAGAAAACAAAACAAATTCACTATGAAAACTAAACGTTTGCCTAAATGTCTCAAAGCTGAAGACAATTAAAACAAAATTTATATTATATTATCGTAAATGCCTACCACGTAAATTAAATTAATTTTTGCATCGCTGGTTACTATTTGCATACATGCACGCATCTATAATTAAATATGTATCTTCATAATGCCAAACGAACGATATTAGGCCTCGGCTGCACATGCACTTTTTGCGGCGACTGTAACTAAATTATATGTGAAATTTTGTCCCCTCATTTTTAAATTGAAAATTGTCAATAATTTATCTATCTCGCTCGCTGTCTTTTTTTATTGTTTGCATCCCGTCTTCTGACCGCCAACTCGATTATAGACGAAAAATAAATCATAAAAATGAAAGGAAACATTTGTGACATGTGTAAAAAGTTTCAAACTGCAGCTATATCATATTGTGCTATAAATTATTACTACTACTATTTATAATTGGTTGAGTGTGCTGTGTGTAACCTTTTTTGTCATCAGCAAAGCGAAATAGTTGCACGTTTAAGCGTTTTTCAACTACATAACTATATGCATAAACAATGTAATGAGAGTTGCCAATATAAAGTAATTTAAACAACAACAAAATGCTAAAACGAAACATTTTAAGCCTATTTTTTTATCTATATATATTATATATCGAAGCAAATACATTTATACATTTTCCTAATATCCACCAAACTATGAACACGACGACGATGCCTCATGGAAACAACACATCAAAAATAACTTTTGATAGGCCATAGTTTACATAAGCCGCAATCTATATTGGCCAGCAGCTGGACGCACGACAGTTTTGTACTTTTTGAGCATATTTGCAGGCGTTGGCGAACATTTCTCGGCCCAGAACCAGTAGTAGCCGCATATTTAAACTTAAATTCTAATCTTAACAATAAAGCAGGCAAATGACAAGGTTTAGATATTAACTAACAAGCGAATACACAAATGAAACATTGCATACGGTATGTTAAGTTGAGGACGTAGTTTAAGCAACAAACTGATTTATCTAATAAACTATGATATATAAAATTGAATGATGTTGCTTTGGCGGTGCGGTAAAAAATAGGGTCCTGAATTCGAATTATATGGTTATCGATAGGTGGCGGCGATATTTATTTTCGAGTTATTAAAAGGGAATATCGCTGTTAAGTTAACAGGGGTCTCCTGGGCTTAAGTCTGCAGTACCCATTTTTATGTCTTTATCAACTAATCATGTTAATTAATTATATTTGGAACATATATGGTAAAGTAATAAAATCTGGCTCTTACCGAATTGGTAGGTTTTTGTATTTAATGTGCTACGAAATAATCTCAAAGTTTCAGAATGTTTTTCTCATACGACAAAAAAGACTGCTAGAATATTGTTAATCCCCCTTTCATATTCAGCCCTTAATCTCCTCCGAAAAAATGACTTATTAACTTTTTCCAAACAAAATCTACATTTTGAGTTAAAAGTTTTGAGTTTCGAAGTTTTATTGCTGATATGTTATTGCCGGCTGTTAAATAAGTTTGTGTCTCCGCTAGTTTCGTATCATGGCTTTACACCTTCTATTTTGCGGTATATTTTTAGTATTATTATTTGTAAGCTCCTGAGGCATATTTATTAATCCCAAGCACGGTCACACTGGTCATATGGAAATAAGAAAAAACAGCACGGCACGGTAGTCCAATTAAGTTAATTTTGTTAAGTAAACATACAAGTGCAGAGTCGCCGCGCACACCCACGTAACCGTGAGGCCGCCCACTACTCAGTTTTCACCCGTAAACCAGTGCGCGAGTCGTAGTTTCGCCAGCATTGTGGTCCACGTGTGGAAATAGCCAGGAAAAGCGAAGGGGCACACACACACAGGCACACGAACGCGCAGCGAGGAACACGTACACAAATGCGCGCGAGGGAAAAGCGCTAGGTCAGAGGAAAGTGAAAAGTGAAAAGCGAAAAGCGCGTCAGGGATTCGCATTCGCACGTAACGCAACGCGTAACTCCAAGGAAAATGCCGCTGCTCGCCTACCGGGAAAAGCACATCCTAAGTGCTCAGCAGCTGAGGAAACTGAGCGAGCACAAGTACTCCTGCACCAGTACCAGCCTCCTCGATCCGCTGCTGCAACCCTGGTGGAACTGGCTGGTCGCCCAGACGCCTCTCTGGCTGGCCCCCAATCTCATTACGATTGTGGGACTAATCGTCAATGTGGTCACTACGCTAATATTAATCTGGTAAGCACCCACACCATCTGAAAGTCTTTTTTGTTTGCCGGCAACCCCTTTTTAAGACCCTTGACCCTGGGAAATTCGCATTCTTGGCGAGGAAATTTCCACCACACTGGGGCGGGGATTAGGGCTCTGCATCAGCTGTTGTCTTCCATCACTCAACTGCCACTTGTCAGTTTCACTTTGCCGGATCTGTTTGCTTGGGTTTGTCAGCATTTTTTCAAAAAATTTTCTTTTATTTCTTTTTTTCTATTTGCTACTACTTATAAAGACATTATATATATTTTTAAAATTATAATAGAATTAAATCTATTTACCTGGTACATTTAGTTTATCAGCATTTAACTTTTTACCAGAAAATTGTATAGATTATCAACTGTTTTCTATAAAAAAATAATCTTTTATAGGAGCAGTAAACATATTTTTCTTTGAGAGTCTACAAATTTAGCCTATTTTATTAAATTTTTGTAAGCTACAAATTTGTATTTGTTAACTTGTTTGGTGGTTGTTACAAGAAGAATCATTTGTTGTTTCAAAAACTAGATCTAAGAAATATTAACCAGTTTTTAATAGCTTTATAAGCAGCCTTCAGCCTTCCAAATAATTACATTAAATGCTCAAACGTTGTCAGTAACTTTGTTTTCGAGGGGAGCAGCAAAAGAACAGGCGATTTGTTTCATAATGCGTCGCGATAGCGTATCATTCCATAACTACGCTAACTAACTAAACCAGAGGGTGGGGAGGCGTGAAAGTGGCGGATACTGCGGACCCCCTCTTTAGAACTTGGACACAACTATGCCAGCGATAAGATAGCGAGGGCGTCTCGCCACTTTACCCATTACACACGAGTTGAGCGAAATATATGTAATCACAATCATCGTCGTTTGTCGTCGTTTTGTGACGCATTTCTTTAGTCTGAGGGCGTTGCAAAAACGGCAACTTTAAACGATAAGTAAATAAACAAAGGCGGGCTAATCGCCGGATCTCAAGACTCATGAAATACTGCACTTCATTCAGACAGGTGCAAGAGCTCGGCGTTGAAGAACTTTTCAGAAAGCCACAGTTTGAGAAGGCAAGGTTCACATGAGTTAACCCAGGGGGCACTTTTTGTATTTTCCAATTGTTTGCCTTTCAATTGGGATACCTTTGATTGAATTAGAATGACAATTTACATATATAATTGATTTTTATGGGTCTTTCCACCAAAGTCCGACATTTAAACATGTTCCGCTACTGTCAGCAAACAAAGTTAAGTTGCAGTAATTACAAAAACTATTTTTAGAGAGACTTTCACTCTAGCTGTGGAGAAAACCTTGAATTTCTAAAGATCTGCCCCAAAAAGCCTCTTTATATATTTCTTGATCTTTCTCACCGAGTATATTAGCGATGAAAAAAAGAAAAAGCTGTGAGCCTGTTGTTTTTAACACCTATTTGCAAGATTTAGTCAAGGGTATACAAGTAAAAGGGGCAAAAGTCAGGTGAAATTAATTATTTAAAATAAAGCTATGAAATATTATGGCTAAATAATTACAAACCAACTTTTTGGCCAAACCTACGTGTCCCTACTTTCGCCCCATTATGGTTGATTGCTTTAGATCGTTGGCATGCCAATCAAAGTGGCCGACAAGTCATTTACTTCTGTCCCCCAGCATATGAATCACCTTGAATGCTGCTCACGTGTCGGTTTCTGTTATTTTTAGACCAAAATACATGCTATAGGATCTATATATTCATTCACAAAACCTCGCCAAAAAGACCAGACCGGTTTTTATTTGCACTCTACTTATTATTATTCTACTTTTGTTTGCACTTTTGTATTTGTTTTAATAATATCTTGCAACAACAAACTGTTGCCAGCCCGCTTGCGGTTTTAGCTGAGCTTGTCTAGGTCAGTGGGACTCGATAAAGTAGTGTCAATCTGGGCACGATGATTCAGCTGGAATCAGGTGTATTTTTCGTTCCCCCGTAGTTCTGGTGTGCCGAAATTCCAAACCGGAACCGCAAAGTCAGCTGATTCGGCGACATGGCGGTGGAGATAGTAGTCCCCTTATCGGGCATGTTCGAGTGTTCAGCTGCAAAATAGTGATTTTATACTTAACCTGAGAGATAATTAAGAAATTCAGCTTGGGAACTTTGCTCATCAGGCGATCTTATGCTGACTGACGTCAGTCTGTTTTCATTGCGAAGGGGAGTGGTACGGGCAATTGACTTGGAAACGCACGAAACGGTTTGATATTCTACACTTTGCAGGAAATAGCTTTAATTCACTTGGCTGTCCATTATTTATTTACAAGAGGATATTCAAGTGCCAAGTTCAACAGAAATCCAATACTAGTTTACATTGTTGCAAGAACAAGTTAATGACAGAATTTTATTTTGTTGGCTTCGTCAATTGGTTGAGTTTATATTTAAATTTAATCAAGTTTTGCAAAACGACTGTTATTTCAGCTTTGCAATGAATCAACTTGATTACTCAACTTTTAATCAATAAAATCAGGGTCGAATTCGCAAGTGAAATCTAAATCTAGTTTGGTAATCTAATAATATTACAAAATAGTAATATAGTAACAGTAATATTATAAAACATGAAGCTTACTTACATCTAAAGAATTCACAAAACCTATAAAATCAAAAAAAAATTGTTTATTCCAAATTCTCATTTAAGTGTTTTTTGGGTTCGAGGTTAAGGGCTTTTATGAAAACTAATGCAAAATGTTTTTAAATTTAATATTTATTTTTAGACATTTTCATGAGGGGTATGTATTTTAAAATGGGTTCAAGTTTTATCGTTTGTTCCATAGCTTATTCATGTTTGAGGGTGTGTTTTTAAAATATGTAACATTTTTATGGTAAACAATTTTGATATTGTTCAACAACTGACGCAGCTTCTTTTGATAATAAGCCCTTGTTATTATTGGCAAATTATTAACTTTCTTATGTGTCATTTCCCTCTTCAGTTATAGTCCAAATGGCGTTGACGCTCCGCCACGTTGGACCTGTTTGCTATGTGCCCTGGGTCTGTTTATCTACCAGAGTCTGGACTCCATAGACGGGAAGCAGGCTCGTCGCACGAATACCTCCTCGCCGCTGGGCGAGCTCTTTGACCACGGCTGTGACTCCATATCCACGGTGTTCGTGGCCGTGTCGGCCTGCATCTCCTGCCAACTGGGACACTATCCCAACTGGTTGTTCTTCCAGGTGAGTGCATAACTAACATATTATTCAGAGCGAGATAAATTCCGGACTTCTTTTCCAGTGCTTCTGTGCTATTGCTCTCTTTTACTGCGCCCACTGGCAGACTTATGTGTCCGGAACGATGCGGTTTGGTCGCATCGATGTGACGGAGGCGCAGTTTTCGATTATAGCCATTCACCTAGTGTCTGCCGTGCTCGGTCCTGAGATCTGGTTGACTAAGGTAGGAGTGGTTCCGAAGTCACCCCACGAGGACCCTCGAATTACACCTAATTTTGATAATTTCGGAAGATTTTTGCATACCCTTTAATATTTTCTTTAGATATTTAAGCGTATTTTTAAGAGTTTTTTATTTCGTTACGTTAACATTAGAGTTTAGAGCTCGAGTTTCATTTAGGCTGCTTAGGATTAAGCTCGGCTCAGCTGCCTTAAGTTTTGACGATTTAGCGATTTCAGTTTTGAGTTAATCATCCCATTCATTAAGTTCCCAATTATTGAGCATGGATGAAAACCACGGAGTTTGATAGGTTTTTGAGGGCAGGACAGAACAAACCACTTTCTGATATTCTTATAGATTTCCGAATAGTTATTAACTAAACTTTAACCACGTCCAGTAATTGTAAATGTATAATACCTTCTACTTCTATGTACATAATGCGTACTGCGCGCGCTCTCTAAACAAAACCTGCCGAAATCCAATGCCTATCGTGATAAAAACATTTAACAAACCGACACCAAACCCACAAATAACACTCAGATCGGCATTGGCAGTATAGAGCTTTGGTATGGCCCGGCAATGACGACCATTGTGTGCGGTCTGCTATCCCTAGCTTATGTATTTTCCGTCATTAAAGCCGGTGGTGTTGGCAAGAATGGCTCGACAGTTGCTGTAAGTCCTTAACACACACAAACACACACACATGTACACAAAACACTACTACTACCACTACAAACAACAACAAACACACACACACAAAACAAAAAATATTTTGGCTTCTCAAAAAACAAAAAAAAATGTATGTGAATTAAAAGAGTTTTCAGTTTTCACCTAGCTTTCTATTCGCTGACCAGCTCAGCTGAGTTTCGAGGAAGGTGCGTGGCGTGAGGATACCCTTAACCCATCTATCCCTCTCTTTAACCCCCAATTGCTTGCCTATTTAATCTGTGCCGTTTTTGATTCTTGTTCATGTGTCTTTGGTTTAGACGGCGCAGCTGCTGCAAAATTATAATCCTGCTTATTTGCTATTGAAACAACACAAATTTACATATTCGGAAGCAATATGAGAGCATGCCTAAAAAAAACACATACATTATTACTATTGGCGGCTGCTGAATGCAAAAAATTTAAGTTAATTCTTAGTTACCCATACAATTAATCTATGTATTTGCCCTGTCCCCATGTCCAGTTGACATTTTTGGTCCTTCTATTTACTCTTTATGTATTTATTGTCTTCCGGTTTTGGATATACCTACTTAACCCAAAATTAATCTTAATAACTATTCCATTTCTTACGTATTCTCTTTAAGCATAGTTGTAAGTGAGAGTTGCAGGGTATTCACAGTCGATCAGCGACTGTTAACACTCCTAGATCTCCTCTTTAACCAAACCAAACATTTTACCAAAACAATTTCTCATCCTCTAAATGTAGTCAAAGATTCTAAATTTTATTGTTTTTCTTGCAATTTTTCATCTTTACTAGATACCAATCGTGGGCCTTTCATGGAATTATACAATATTAATATTTATCACATTCGGTTATACCTTGAATATAATCAATTTCTTAAAAATGTTTACTGAAGGCGGCAGTGGCAAAAACGGCTCCACAGTTGCTGTAAGCATTGCACCCTCCTCTCGCATTAACGAGGCGAAAAACTATTATAAAACCAGTACAATACTTAACAGACTAACTCGAAAGGGGGCCATCAAATAATACCTAGCCCCAGCCATAACATCTTTAACTAATCTTTGGTTCTGCTTTTGGGTTCTCTACTAACAACCGGTTTGCATTTTCCTTTAACTTGGATTTGGGAAATGGCTTGCAGTTTCGGTGGAGGGCTCTTAAATTTGGTTTGGGCTCTCGCACTCGATCATTTCCTACTTCCCATATTGACTAATGCAACAACATTGGATGCCATTTAAAGCATGCTGCTTGGGTGTTTAATTAGTGTTTTAAGTGGTATAACTATATATTTATTTCGCTTTTAGAATAACAACTATTGGTATTTTTAATAATAATTTAATGGCACTATTTAGCATAAGTATAAAATCTATAAATATAAATATTATTTAGATCTTGGTGTTATTGGAGCTTTTAAAAAATTACCCTTTAAGTTTTTAAGCCACACTTCTGTTATTGAAATACTTTTGGAAAACCACAAGTGTTCCGTAATTACAAATGAAATTTTAATGCGCGCCGTTCTTTTCTCCCGCACGCAATCAATCAATCAATCAATATCGTTTGACAACCCCAATCGAACCCGAACCAATTCCCCATATACCTTGATATTGGCAGCTACCGTACTTCAACTGCGAAACTCGATTTCTGCCTATTTATGTGGCCTGCGGCGTAGATTTTATTCTAACACTGCGCTACGCAAAGTGCATTTTGACAGAGGGTTGTGGCAAAAATGGATCGTCGGTTGCAGTAAGAATTATACGTTTAAGTTTCTCTCAAAAACGACCACCGAGATAGTCTCGTCCTTGTCCTGGTGTGCAGTGCGTTTGGAAGAACAAGCATATATTTCATGTGGCCATGTCTCGGCCTCCGCATTCGTATGTCTTTTGTGGTTTAAACGCACTGTAAATCGGCTTCAGTAGCACAAAAGTTGAGATCTGAGCGTCCGAAACGTGTTGCCCTTACCTACCTTGAGTAATGCTATTTTTATCGATCCAAGTGCACGTCCAATGTTCGTTGATACCTAGTATAACTATTTGTGTAGCTCGTAGTTATTATTATACCCTTGCAGAGGGTATTATAATTTTGGTCAAAAGTGTGCAACGCAGTGAAGGAGGCATCTCCGACCCTATAAAGTATATATATTCTTGATCAGGATCACCTCCTGAGTTGATATAGCCATGTCCGTCTGTCCGTCTGTCCGTCTGTCTGTCCGTCTGTCCGTCTGTCCGTCTGTCTGTTTCTACGCAAACTAGTCTCTCAGTTTTAAAGCTATCGAATTGAAACTTTGCACACACCCTTCTTTCCTTTGCACGCAGTATATAAGTCGGAACGGCCGGGATCGGCCAACTATATCCTATAGCTGCCATATAACTGATTGATCGGAAATGCCATAACTTTCGTTTTTGTAAAGTTAGGAAGTTGGGATTTTCTATGGGTTTTATATTTGGCCAATCAATCCGACCTACCAAATTTCATAAGGATCGGCCGACTATATCTTATAGCTGCCATATAACTGATTGATCGGAAATGCCATAACTTTGGTGTTTGTAAAGTTAGAAAGTTGGGATTTTCTATGGGTTTTATATTTGGCCAATCAATCCGACCTACCAAATTTCATTAGGATCGGCCGACTATATCCTCTAGCTGCCATATAACTGATTGATCGGAAATGCCATAACTTTGGTGTTTGTAAAGTTAGAAAGTTGGGATTTTCTACAGGGGTTATATTTGGCCAATCAATCCGACCTACCAAATTTCATAAGGATCGGCTATATCCTATAGCTGCCATATAACTGAACGATTGGAAATGCCATAACTTTGGTGTTTTTAAAGTTAGGAAGTTTGGAATTTTTATTAGTATTAAGAATGCATCATAGGAATAATTTTGGAGAATATAATTATAGAGTATTCTGCAAGGGTATATCAACTTCGGCTCCGCCCGAAGTTAGCTTTCCTTTCTTGTTTTTGGTGATGGTTTCGCATGGCATGTCGTTTGCTTTTAATTTTATATTTCGTTTGGTAAATTGGCTTTTTTTACTGTCATGTGTGCATTTTAAGACCCACAAATAAAAACCAACCAATCCACCACCACCCACCCACACACCCGACCAATTGCGCTAGATCATGTAAATAAAACATGTAATAAACCAATCTGTAAGCGCAATTTCCCCTCTAGTGTTCTCTTTCAATTTCTGAAGGGGAAATTGCCGAACCCTAAACACCAAAAGCCAAAAGAATTTTTGTTCACTTTTGTTTGTGCACTCGAATTGTTGTGACCCATGCAAAATGTGCCGTAATTCACAATTAACTAACAAAACGTTTAAAGTCCAAAGAGCACAACGCCGCCCACGGTGACACTTTGCAAGGGTGCAACAATAAACCCAAAGATCGCCACTAATTGAATGTTTTCCGTACTCCTGCAGGGCACCAGTGTCCTGTCGCCCAGCATTCCGCTCACGCTTGTGGTGCTGCCCGCCCTGATGATTGCCCAGAAGTCGCCGCAGAACATCTTCACCGAACACGCCTCGGTGTACATTATGGCCTTCGGCATGGTGGCCGCTAAGGTCACCAACAAGTTGGTGGTAAGTAGTGTTGTCTATTATTTATCTATACAGATCACTTAATTTAAAGACATTTCAAATCGAGTTAACTCATATTCCACTAAATGTGAATATTTAACCAATGTTTAAACTCATTGTGAAGAGCTGTTTGAGTAAATGTTTTATTTAGTTAGATCCAATCTGATCAAATTTAGTGGTTCCAGAATTAACACTATTGAAATGGACTTCAAAATCAACTTAAATTTAAACGTTGAAGAACTCGTTCAGAGATTTTGTTAGGCTGTTAAACCTTGATTGACTTTTTGTAAGACTTAAATTAAATATCAGAATGAAAGGCTTACTTTATTTTTTTATTTTGTGTTCTGAGTCGATTCAAGCTATAATATGCTGTTTTTAGCAAAGTAAAGTTTCGGTAAAGCATAATGAAGAGTCCGTTTTTTAACTCATTTAATAGTATTCCAGATCAGAGAACTACATGTACGTAAATTTAAATTTATATGTAGTAGTCGGATCAATATAGATTTATAGTTATGTATATGTAATACTCTGATCTATAAACAAAACGCCTTTAATTGTAAAATTTGCCCGCAGATTGCCCACATGACCAAGTCGGAGATGGACTACCTGGACTGGTCGTTGCTTGGCCCCTCGCTGCTGTTCCTCAACCAGTACTTCAACTGCATCGTGCCTGAGATCTGGCTGCTGTGGTTCACCCTGATCTGGGGCACCCAGGATCTGCTGCGCTACTGCTCGCAGGTGTGCCTGGAGATCTGCCAGCACCTGCGCATCGATCTCTTCCGGATACCGTATACGCCCAAGGGCGTGGCATCGCATCCGGCCACCGCCTCGGTGAGCAGCCAGAGCAACTTTGGCGGCAGTGCGGACAAGAACGGCGGCACCGCGCATCGAAAGTCGAAGAGCAAACCGCACTAGGTTTTGGTGTCTTGCTACATTAATTAGTTTTCTTTTACAAATTTACGTCGTTAGAGCCGAGGGATACTCGTAGGAGCAGACGGAGCGCAATTTAATACAAACCCGTTAACACAACCCAACAAAATTCACCGTCGATATTTAAACAAAAACAGGAGAAACACAACCAAACAAAATAAGAAAAGAAAACAAAAAAAGATAGAAAAGTTAGCGAAAGGCGAAGCAAAATGTTGCTCCTACATTTTAGGATATAGTTTACAACACGTTGTTGTAGCAAAGAAGGCGAGGTGGCTAGGGCTGCTGGGAGAAAGAACTGTTGCAGTCTCCGATATCAATTATATGGCTAAATATATAAATATAAATATATTTTGTATGATTGTGTAAGTTGTAATAAATCTAGATTGCAGTATTTTTACTGTGCTAAATCACACTTGTGCAAATGCCAAAAAGAAAGCAGAATAAGCCTAAAAATAGCTCGATGAAAGCTCAATTTACGTTTAAGTCCTGAGACCACCCCATTGGCGATCGATCCATCCCACGAAAGACAACAGAATAAGTCGCGCAGTTACGATTTTCATTTGAGGCCAGTATATCTATTCATGTTACTCGTTTTAGTGCTTAGTTTCCTACTCATCGGGGTCGTCTGAAGGGCCGCGACATTCTAAATGGTGACTCATTTCAAAAAGCGCACTACCTAGCCCTTTATTTTAGTGTGTTTCGCGTGACTACATCTAATGCATCCTAATCCTAGCTAAAAACCTTTATTTGTAGCTCGCACGGCGCAGTCCGGCAACTTTATAGTTCAACTATTATGGATTATGTTTTATGTTGTACAAGAAAATGGAGACGAAACAAACAGCAAGAACTAGAAATAAAACAAATTGCTAAAAATAAATAAAAAACGTTTTTCAATTGGTAGAATTGCGCATGCTTAAGTTTATTTAATGCTCTTGTTTTACACAGCGTATTATCCGTGATAAATAGTTCAATTCCGCCAAACGGCAACGATTACATACATAATTTGGCTAGATCGTTCCTACGAAACAAATAAAATTATCTTGGTTTGTCTTATTATTCCTATGGCAGCTCTAGAACATTGTCGTCCGATTCTTAAAGTTTTAAAAAATGTTTTGACTGCGAGTAAAAACACGGTAAACTTTTAAGTTGATAAACATGGGATCCGTCCAAAACCATATCATATTTAAGAGAAAATACCGAAATATTGGAACTCTAAAATTCAGCGACAAAATCGTTTAATTTGGAGCTATTGGATTTAGTCGTCTGAATAAAAAATTGTTTCTACGATTAAAACCAAATTCTAATAAGGAATACTTGAGAATATTTGCACATACTCTGCATTTGTTACATGCAACATATGCATGCATGCAATATATGCAACATATTTATAGGCCTAAATTTTTTATACCATTCATAAGTACAGTAGGTACGGCCTATAATCCCAATCTGAACATAAAAAAAAATAAAATCAAACAGAGTAGAGAGAAATAAATACTTAAAAAATTATAATTGTACATTTTTACATTGGAAATAATTTGGTGTATAAACACATTTAGGTTATTGCTAATTACAGTAGTTAAAAGGTATGCAAAGTAATAATGGAATTTGGAAAACCAAAAACTGAAGTTGAAACCTGTCGCTCCAGATTCACTCTGGTCCTTGAACTTTCGGTACAGCTAACTTAACAGGATTCAACTATTCAACTTAAAACGGCAACATTCTTACGACTAACTAAGCTAGAGGACTAGAAATGACCCCGGTCGCAAATCAAAGACATCAAGGCCATGTCGCGCACCTCCAGCGTGACTCGTTGGCGGTGCTTGGTGAGCATGTACGAATCGGAGAGCCGCTGCGTCAGGTACATCTCGGAGGACTCCTGCATGGCCTGCAAGGCTCCTTCGGTGACCCTCATTGGATCTCCTTGGCTGTATTGGATGATTAGTTCACGTACCAGGCGTGAGAACGGCAGCTTGGGTATAAGCAGGCCGGGATTGGCCTGCAGCCGCCGTATCTCGCGATCCATCCTTTTCGCTTTGCTCATGGGATTGACAAGCTTGCGTCGCCTGGGCCTATGCTCAGCGGCTGATCGTGATCCTGATGCTGAGACCTGATTTCTGGCCTGCTGGGTGGAAGCCTGGTGCCTCTCCTGCTGACTAGTCATGCGACGCGTCTGCGGTGATCTTGCTCCCGGTTGGCGATTTTCCTGATCTTCCTCGTCGCTCGACGAGGTCCTGTTTGCTGGTCGCTGTCTCCGGCCGGCGGTGGTGTCCTTGCGCAGCGTCGAGCAGCGACGATTGGAGGACTCCTGCAGCGTCAGGCGGCTGGTGGTGAACTCCAAGCCGTAGTCGGTGCCGTCTTCCGGCTCCGGCGATCGGAAAGCCGTTTCGTCGTCGCTCTCCGCGTCTGTGTCGCCCAGCGACGGTTTCGGCACCTTCATCGACCGCTTGGCCTCACCTTGCCTCGGCATATTCAAAATCAGCAATTTGCAGTTTGGAAACACGGCATTTATTGGATGGTTGTTTTTTAAAAACGCTCCCGCTTTTTTTTTGCAGTGTGACCGAATAAAAAAGGACCAAAAATACTTTACAAGAGATACGAAGATAAAATTGCTAACGTCAGATCTTTGATTTTAACAGCTATAATAAATGAAAAAAATATATATTATATATTATATATATATTATATATAATAATACACGAATCAAAATAAGGAAAATTAAAACCTATTTAAATTAATTTCATTAAATTGTTTTTAAAAAAAGGTCAGTTACTTCTGTTATTATTCTGGCTTTAATATTTGGTGTATATTTTCTGCACGAACTAGTTTTACCAGATTTCAAGATAGTAATAACCCTTTAAGACTATAAAATTACTTCATCCACACGAATTATAAATAAGAAAATTACATTTAAATAATATAAAATATTTCATCCCCGTAGATATCTGATGAATCTGAGGTGACGTGCAGTCGAAACTAGCTAGTTCTATCATGGTCCGGTTCAGTCTTCCGTAAGCGCTAGTGTGATGAAATCTAAGTGAAAAACGTTGTGTTATAGAAGAAATAAACAATTTAACCAACGTGTGAGCTCGAGTTAATCAATATATTAAAATATAACATATATTTAAAAAATCTTTTCTTAATCGGCGCTCTGAGTATCGATTAATACCCACCTCTAGTGCCCAGCTGATGTTATTCCATTAACCAACACTGACTGCCGTAATTGCATTGTTTACCATTTGGACATTTTCTTTATTTCGCAATTATAACAAATTTTAAGGGAAATATAGGATCTAATAATGTCGGAGGACCATGGCAAGGACTACACGCTGGAAGCCGACTCTGAGCTGCGCTTCGAAATCGAACAGAAGGACGCCAAAGTCCTGGTATCCGTAAGTTCAGAAATCCCTGAACTTTTAAGAGATTCTTTAAATATTCTAATAATATTTTGTACCAGTTGGTCAATGGATTTGCGGAGATGTTCGGCACGGAGCTGGTAAAGAAAAAGAAGTACGAGTTCAGCGTGGGCGCCAAGGTGGCCATCTTCACATATCAGGGCTGTGTGCTGCACGTGTCCGGCAAAATGGACGTGTGCTACATCTCCAAAGAAACGCCGATGGTGCAGTACGTCAATTGCCACGCAGCTCTGGAGCAATTCCGGATGGAGGCCGAGGAGAAGGGCCGCCGCGGGCCCGTGGCCATGGTCGTTGGGCCTATGGACGTGGGAAAGAGCACGCTGTGCCGCATCCTGCTGAACTATGCGGTGCGCGTGGGTCGTCGGCCCCTGTACGCCGACTTGGATGTGGGCCAGGGCTCTATTGCCATTTCGGGCAGCGTGGCCACCATTCTCATTGAACGGCCTGCGAACGTCGAGGAGGGATTCGCCAAAACGGCTCCGCTTGTCTACCACTTTGGCCACAAGTCGCCCGGCGGAAACAGTGTGCTGTACAATGCTGTCGTCTCCAAGATGGCCGAGGTCACGCTGCAGTCTTTAAATAGCAACAAGCGAAGTGAGTGGATGAAAATTTTTTAGAATTGTTTTGGTTAGTTAAATTAATTTTGTTCAAGAAAAACTATTTTTAACAAGAAAGGAAAGCTAACTTCGGGCGGAGCCGAAGTTGATATACCCTTGCAGAATACTCTGTTATTATATTCTCCAAAATTATTCATATGATGCATTCTTAATACTCATAAAAAATCCCAACTTCCTAACTTTAAAAACACCAAAGTTATGGCATTTCCAATCGTTCAGTTATATGGCAGCTATAAGATATAGTCGGCCGATCCTTATGAAATTTGGTATGTCGGATTGATTGGCCAAAAATAAAACCCATAGAAAATCCCAACTTCTTAACTTTACAAACACCAAAGTTATGGCACTTCCGATCAATCAGTTATATGGCAGCTATAAGATATGGTCGGCCGATCCTTATGAAATTTGGTATGTCGGATTGATTGGCCAAAAATAAAACGCATAGAAAATCCCAACTTCTTATCTTTAAAAACACCAAAGTTATGGCTTTTCCGATCGTTCAGTTATATGGGAGCTATATGATATAGTCGCCCGATCCGGCTCGTTCCGACTTATATACTACCTGCAATAGAAAGACAACTTTTGAGAAAGTTTCAAGCAGATAGCTTTAAAACTGAGGGACTAGTTTGCGTAGAAACGGACGGACAGACGGACAGACGGACGGACAGACGGACGGACAGACGGACAGACGGACATGGCTAGATCGACTCTCCTGGTGATGCTGATCAAGAATATATATACTTTATAGGGTCGGAAATGTCTCCTTCACTGCGTTGCAAACTTTTGACTGAAATTATAATACCCTCTGCAAGGGTATAAAAAGACACTACTTTTAAATGTGGCAAATTCCTACTGAATTAACAATTAACTGGTTTGATGTTTCTGACTAAAACAGCTTATTCTATCTGAAAATACAATTTAGATGCCACAGAAATTCGCAGACTTATAAAGAATATTGTATTCTAAAACAGTAACTAATTTAAACTCCATATAATCTTTGTGACAACAAAATCCACTAATTTTAAAAGAATTGCACAATAAATATATACAATATCCTCTTTCTTTTGCAGCCAAAAGCTCCGGGATCATAGTCAACACCTGCGGCTGGGTAAAAGGATCCGGATATGCGCATCTGTTGCACGCTGCCAAGGCGTATGGAGCCTGTGCCATATTTGTCTTGGATCAGGAGCGCCTGTACAACGAGCTATTGCGGGATGTGCCCAAAGGTGTCAATGTGGTGCTGCTGCCCAAGAGCGGCGGGGTCGTGGAACGCAGCAAAGAACTGCGACATGAGGCACGAGATCAGCGCATCAAGGAATATTTCTACGGAAATTCAAGGGCACCATTTTATCCGTTCAGCTTCGAAGTGAAATTCCAGGACCTCAGACTGTACAAGATTGGAGCGCCCCCGCTGCCGGACTCCTGCATGCCCATTGGCATGAAAGCGGAGGACAACAAGACCAAGGTGGTGGCCGTCACTCCCACACCCGCCCTCATTCATCATGTCCTTGCACTCAGTTTTGCCGAATCCGTGGAGGATGAAGTGATTGGCACCAATGTCGCCGGCTTTTGTTGCGTGTAAGTTTTGGTGAATTAAAAACTGATTGTTTAAATTATTTATAATTTATTTTTGTGATTTTTAGAACCGAAGTAGACATGGAGAAGCAGGCAGTGATGTTGCTTTCCCCGCAGCCGCGACCCCTTCCACCTAACGCCCTGCTTTTGTGGTCGGAACTACAGTTCATGGACAACCACACATAACAGTTGTAGATACCTTCCTCTAGATGTAATTTAGGAGTTAAAAAATGAATTTTACGGTTTCAAAAAAATACAGATTTACGTGTACACAAAAATTTCTCATATATTTCGTAAACGATACCTCTTACTTTTAGCTCCAAAGTTGTAATTTATTTCTAAAATTATTTGGAAACTCGTTTGAATGGGACTATGTATAAGAAAATATACAATTTAAAAATCACAAAGTATATTAACAAAAGAAAATCAAAAAGCATGTATGTAAATATAACTTGTTTAGGAAACCATGCAAATATTTTCTGAGACTACGAATATTATAATACATATTCCCTATTTTGTCTATTTTATATAATAAAAAAGAACTAATGGAAAACTAGTTAACATAAAATACTTTTTATTTTTTTTATTTCAAATCGAAACTGTTTCTGTTTGATTAATTAAAGACCTATATTTTCTTCAGTGTTTTTTCCTAAATAGGTTTTGGGTCGGACCTAAATGAATAGAAATGGTGGGAACCATCGCTAGTGATTTATCCAAGTTCCTAACCAATATTATAATATTATAATATTGAATTTGAATATTACAGGTTTTATTTGTAATTGTTAAATGTTTTGCATATTAGAGATTTTATTTTCATGGCTTTAAACTAATCTTTAATGTCAGCTACATGTTATTAAACGGAACTACTAGTTAAACCCGCTGTAAAATGTGAGTTCTGGTATATTTTTAGCATTTCGTATGAGTTAAAATGGTTATATTTTAATGCATTCTTAGAAGCCACACCGATGGTAGCTTGCGTCTCTCTAGTGCGGTCACACTGTTCGAAAGAGCGAGACGAAAAACACGGCAACACGGCGAACGGAAAACTTAGTGAAAAGTAAATCAAATATTTACAAAACAAAGTAACCACAAAATGGCTACGCTCGGTCGAATTACGTGAGCCAAACAACAATTGGCGGCCAAACGGGCTGGATTAATGTACTTTTATCGGGCGTTAAACATTGATTCATAGGAATTTGGCGTGTTTTTCGTGTTTGTTGTGCAGCGTGCGAGCTGTTGTTGTCGTTGTTGTTGTGTAAATGTGTATCGAATGGATCTAAAAACAAAACAAGAGATTTCGGGCATCTAAATTTACGCCCTGCTTGAAAGACGTTCTGTTTTCCCCGTGTGTTGTGTGCGTGTGTCTGTTCTGTCTCCCTCCCTCTCCTTCTGTTGCCTTGTTGCTGCATTTTTCCAGCGGCAACTGCGTTTGTTTTGGTTGTCGTCGTGAAATTTTCCATTGGAAAGTGCAGCAGCGCCTTTTTTGGGGGTTGCACACACCGACAATCACCGGCTTGTTGCGCCGTGGAAGCGGCAAAAGGTGCCTTAATTACCAAGTCTCCTTATCATTTACAGTATTTCAATTTAGCAACCAGGTGGGTGGTTTCCAGGGGGAAGGGGTCATTCCCACACACAGTTGCACAATTGCTTATCACTCGCTACTTTACGACAACAACAATTTCTAGCACGCACACAAGCAACAAGGCGATCACACTGTTCAACAAAAGAATCGGAAATTCATACCTAAAGGAACAGCTACACAAATAAAATAACTTAAATAATTAACAATTAAATGCAACAAATTCTTAGAGCAAAGTGTTATTCATTCTTCCGCGCACTAAAAAAACTTAAACAAAACTGAATTTGAACCACGAAACAAATTTAAAAACAAACTAACAGAAAAGTGTTCTTATTTTAAACGCGTGGAAAAAAAACATTAAAAGCTACTTTTTTTTACATAAGTTATTTATTTTCTCTGCACTTCCAAAAATTCATTTAAAAGACAACTAGCAAATACGTACAAAAACGAAAATGCAAAAAACAAATATTAGTATTAGTATAACTTTGTTGAAACCCGAATCGTAACTGCCTGAAACAGATATTTTTAAGTAAAATATAATAGACAACAACTTTTCCATTTAAAGAGTAAATATCTGGAGCAGACTATATATTTAGAAAAAATCAAAACAAAACGAATGAGGCTTACGGAAAAACAAGTAATTGATTACAAAATAAAAAAAATAAGTAAAGTAGAAAATATATCTTTAACAGGCTAAAAAAACATAATTCCTAAAGAGGAAATATTAAATTCTATCGAGTTGTCTAAAAACTTTTAACACCTTTCAAAAAAAACTCTTAAAACAGTGTATTTAATTAACAACAAACAAAATTTTGTCTTGCGACTTGTTTTCAACCGTTTTCTCTCTTTTCCAATTGCAGTTTTTCCGAGTGATTATGTGCGCCTAACAAAAGACAAACGATCGGGTCGCGTCATATCTTATTTTTTTGCGCCAAATGTCTTAAAATTTCGGAGATTGTGCTTCCAAAATAAGATGGCTCTCGAGCCATACATAAAGTCAGCTGAAATCGAACCTCAATTGTGCCAAGTTATAGCAAATAATGAAGATGTGACAACGAAAGCGCCGAAATGCGCGACATTTAACAGGGGAGTGGGATGGCGACCTGTGCTGATCGGCTTTCTACTGATTTGCTTTGGCATCTCAAACAGTTGGCAATACAAAAATGGTAAGTTCTGTACTTTCATTTCGAACAAAGGGCATCGTTTTTGCCAAAGGAATTGAAAAGTATTTGATGGCATTTCGATTAATTTGAGAAGTGGCGGGGGAGTGAGTTCAAAACCACAGGAATAGAAAGGGTGTAAAAGGAATAGGGCTGTGATATCTTTCTCCTTCACTCCGCTCAAAGGCTTTCGTTTACAGGTATCATCCGATGTGGTTAACCAATAACAGCAAAAGAAATTCCGCGAAACAATTCGATTTTTTTTTACCAATTATTATTTATTATTTAAATTTAATTAATTTTGTAATTATTTACAAATGGTGTTTTACGAAAGTTCGAAAGCAATATGTTCATTCTTTTAAACGTTTATATACCGGAGTTTTGACTCTTTCGAGTGTCTACTGTATTCGTTTGTTTATGTGGTTTTAACTGCACTTTTGAGCTTCCCTCGTCCGCCCCGCCCCTTCGTTTTTGCCCACTCCTTTTACCGCTTTGCGTTTTCCTTTAAGCTCTTTTTCGTGTTGTCAAAGCCCAAAGGCTGACAATTTCTCGGCGCAATGCTTTTATGAATAAACAACTACTACTTATTTAGACTGTAGTACGCACTCAACTTGATTGCACTGCGCATAATTTAGTACCCCCTTCTTCGTGGCTCCTCCAAACACTTTTCCGACTAGATGCGACGCTAATGAGCTGAAAAAAGCAGCTCACTAATAATTCAGCAGTTGTAATATGGCAAAGTTGCCCGGTAATTGCCGGCATATTTCAAATGCACAAAGCATTGACCCAGGCACAAAAAATCATGCACACAGAAAAATTAATGGTGAATATTGTACAATGTACAATACAAAAATGGATAAATTTATTTATATTCTTGCTTTAACATATTAGGACCAGAAGACTTAAAATTTGTAATTTTCAGTTTTATGTAAAAAATTAATCAGTCTGCTAGCGAACTTGCCTATTAAATGAAAAAATCACTTGAGAATTATAAGCCTTGAAGAAGTAGTCTTTCGGTCTTACTAGTATTAAAATGGCTCCACCCTAATGATTTTGGCTTTTTTTTTTGTCAGTGTGGCTTATAATAAGGCACAAAGAGCTGAATTGGAAGGGGCCTCTACGGGTCAAGTCAATATGGAAATAGCAAATGGACAAAGGCCCGTCCAAACATCGTTAAGCCCCCAAAAAAAGGGGACCCTCGAGTGTTTGGCCGAAAGATAAGCCTCCGCTTTTTCGCCCCCTCCTTCAGTTGCAATCCGGAGTTTCGAAGTCCGTAGTCTGTAGTCCGTAGTTGGGAGTACTCCAGCATGCATTGGGGCGCCCACAAAGCAAGTGCCGCTGCCCCGAAAAGGAAGCCAAAAACTTAAATTTGTCGAGCCGGGTGAAAAAAAAGCGCATCAAATATGTACACAAAGCTCCGGGAAAAACCATCTCTCCATCTTTCCTGACTCTCTTTCGTTATGTGTGCGTTGTGTGGGTGGTTGGGTGGGTGCTTACTTTCTTTAACACTTTGACGCGCGCACAAAGTGTTTTTTGCCTGCGTTGATTTGCTCCTCTTTCCCACTCTGCTTGCAAAAAACCCACGCTTCCCATCCACCCACTTCTTTAAACCTTGTTCTTTTTTGCAGCTACTGACGTTTTTGCCGCTGTCATTCCGTGTGAGGGGATCCCTCCCCTTTCTTTTTCGTCCTTTTACGTCAGAGCTCGACGCTATTTGCTTTAGCTTCTATTTACTACGCCGTAGTACGCCAGTTTAGTAGTAATGGGAGCACTTCAAAGGCGACGGCGCCTTTGACGCCACATCCACCGCCCACCGCCGGCATCCTGCCATCCTTTGCATCCCCGCGGGACACTCGACATTTCACTGTTGTTGACATTGATTTTGATTTCATTTATGTGTGCACCACGTTCCACTTTCCACGAGCGCTGACATTGGCTTAGTATGCCTGTCAACACTTGCGACACTTTATCTTTCTTCTCGGGAATTATCAAGGGACCATTATCTGCTACTATCTGCAAATTGTCCAATTAAAAATGCATAACACAATTAACTATTAACCAGCTTAGTAGAAGTAGTTAGAGGCTTCATTTTCAAGCTTACTTTACATATTGTAAGGGTATAAATTATAATTTAAATCATATAAGCCTTTAATTAAACGAATTGTTAATATGACCCTAAGCTGGCTTAAATGTTCTGTAATTTAAATAAATTCTATTTATTATAGTCACTTTAGGCATTGTTATAGTCATACTCCCTCTTGAGAACTGCAACGAAAACAGTCCTAAATTAATACTTCTGCTGAAAACCGGCACAATAAAGCGTCCGAACGCATAGCAAACACAATTGGGCTTTAACTAACCCAATCATCCTGGGACCCATCTGCATTCCGTATGCAAACTGCTAAAACCAAAGACAAACTCTCGGTCCGCCGGCACAAATGTATCACTTTGCAATTTAAACAATAATGTTGTGGTGTGGTCTGTCCGAAATGGATGTGTGCGTTTGTGTAATGCATCTGTGTTGGCCAGCAGATTGGTTGCAATGCAGCAGCAGCAGCAGTATCAACATCAACATCATCATCGCATCATCCTCATCAACGCCGCCGCCCTCCTCTGGCCGCTGATTTGTGTGGGCGGCTTGGCCTGGCACTGACCTCTGTCCTGGGTGGAAATGTTTCTGTGTTTTCACGGAGAAAAATGCATCATTATTTACCATTTAAATGAAATTGATAGATTGAGGAATGGAAACTGAAGATAGAGGTTATTTATCTCTTGAAACATTTTATTTCCAAGCCTTGGTTTTGTTTAGTATCATGTATTGGCGGCATCTTGTAGGTAAACTGGGAAACTAAACTTATACGTTTTAATAGAATTTTTTAAAAATATAGCCTAGTAGGTTCACAAGTTTGTAAAAAGATTATCTCAAAACTTTTTAAATAAGGAAGCATCAACTTATATCATATATACAATTTTGTTCTCTGTGCAAATGCGTAATCGGCTTTGGCATTGCCAGCAAATTGGCTACCATATCCAGCGTGGTCTGCATATGCAAATATGCAACTGCCACAAAAGGCAACAACAACAGCAATGCTACCCGTCCAACGGCTTTTGGCCATCTTCTTCATCCTCTTGCGGGACGCTTATCACTTATCGTAATCTTGTAATTACGTGTGTTCCACAAATGTTAATTGCAAAAGGGAAACGTCGATAGGCTAAAGGCATTCCCAGCTGGCCCTCCATCTCGATTCCCTCGCACTTCGCACACCACTCATCTGGTTTAAACGAGTTGTTCCCATGGCAAATCATTAATTTTACGATTGTGTTTATTTTTTGAGGGATTGTTTAATAGCACATAAAACTTTATTTATAATTTTGACGACTAATTCATTAGGGATATCAACATTTAAGATGTATTTTGTGCATGCATGGCCACAATCAACAGGAAATACAATTCAATTGCTTGTGAAAATAAAATAACTTCGAAATTAAATATTTAATATAAAATTTGGAAGTCTTGTCTAATATTGGAACGAAAATCAGCGAAAATTTGATTTGTCTGCAGCCAAAACTTAATGTTAGAATAAGCAACCGCAAAAAAAATTGATTTTCCCAACCAAACCATTACATTAATCAGTCCAGAATGAAATCGCTACTCACTTGCAGACTCATGAGCAATTCGATATCTGTCAGAAGGTCAACCCCAAGAATTAACAACCTGCATACGATTTTTCATCATGGTGGTATTTTATTATCATCATAATACCACTCCTTAATCACCAGGTGATGAAATAGGCGAAGTAAATCAATTACTATTTAGGAAGTCCCCTTTTACAAATACTTCAGTGGTTATCGAGTAATGACAAAAGAATTTGATTAGTAATGCCAAGATAAAAACATTATTGACTTGATTTTCCTTTATAGTGTCAGAGTTAGAAAAGCCATCATGTGCTTCTCACCAGCTGCTCGTAAAGTGCTTATAAAATTATACGACTATAATTTACCCAACAAGTTGCCAATTTAAAGGCCTAAAACATGTCAGCAAGTAATTAAATTTCTATGCCGATTTGCATATCTAAAGGCGCGCAGGCAACCCTGTTAGCCTGTGCATTGGTATACGTGTGTATCTGTGTGTATGGGCCACTTAACATAGCCGTTGGCTTTGGCCAACTAACGAACTGAACGAGAAACCGAAATAAAAACAAGGGGACTCGACTCCGGGAGCCTTTAGTGATGGACGATATATTTTGAAGACTTTAATCAGTTTACTGGATGCACTTGTTGAAATCTTATCAAATTCGATAGTTAACAGATTGTTTTACGTTTTCAAAATCTTTAATTGATCAATCATAATCTGATTTTGAACTTAAAACATTTTTGTTCTCATTTCGAACTGACTAAATCAGTACTTAAGTCCATCTTCAGGATTTAAATAATGGTACAAATGGTCTAGTTTTGTAACGGAAACTACGCCATGCTTTTTTTTATAAATGTCTAATATATAAAAAGATAACTAAGTAAAAATATTTTTTTCTTTATTTAGAAATCTTTAAAAAATGAAATATAGGATGTGCCACATTATAATCACTAGGGTTTTAAAATCGGTTTGAAAGGCGTCTAAAAGCAAGCAACAAGGTATTTATAATTAGGAACTTCTATATTATATTCTTGACTATCTTCGACGTGCTTTTTATAACTGGATACTTTGAGATACATAAATAGGTGACTTTAAATCCCTAGTGATAACTGTTGCACCCAATGTAATTAAAAAGCGATCGTGGTTTTCCAAAAGTTTTAGAAAAGGCGTCTCAAACCCACAACTGAAATCGAGATAACCGATAGTTTGTGATGCGCCGAAGTTACCCATCGCTAGGCAGCATCTTGGCCATGTCTCCCTTGCTAACAAGCTCCCAAAACCTGGCCCTTCTTCCGCTCCCGCTGATGATGTCTACCTTCCAGCCGGAGTTGTTGCTGGTTCTGCCAGCCCTGTTGTTGTTGTTGCTTCAACTGCTTTAAATGTCCGGGCGTTCGTGCGTTGCCTGCAACGCAGCAGAGCAGCGCATAAACATGCACATCGTTAAGAGACGAGACCGGGCTCAGACCCAGCCCCAAATCATGGCCCAGACCCTTTTGGGCCCCCCTCCCTCAATCCCCGGTCCCCTGACCCGCCGCCACTTGTGACTCGTTTCCAAGCCGGTCATTTAGAGGCCAGGCCCAGCATGCCTTCCACCACATATCCGTACAATCAACAAACCTGGCCAGAAATGTTTTCCTCTTTTTTTCTTTTCTTTTTCTCTTTTTTTTTTTTGGCTTGTTTTGGCCTTTTGACTGCTCTTTGTTTTCGTGTAATTGTTCTGACTGCCGTTCTTGTTTACGTTTCATTGGCTCCCGAGTTTCTTTTTTTTTCGGGCTAAAGATCTCCTCTCCATATGGTCGAATCTCGGGTTTCGTTATCTAATATTGCTGGGAGGAAACATTAATTCGCAGCTCGTTGGCAGATCCTTCTTCTTCACTTCTTCATAGTCCAACAGTCTCCGCTCGACGGACTGCTAATTTATTTCACTCTTGTACCTCGTTCGCTTCCTATCTAGAAAAAACCAATTTAAAGTTTATTTATGGCTTTTATTATTTTATACCCCCTATATTTGGCATTTTTCCTGTTGCTCTTTTTTTTTCGTGTTTGCAGCTGCCATCGACTGGCGTTTGTCAATTTTTAACCTGTTGTGCATACTAATTTGTCGGGAGCGGTTTTTTTTTCGTATTTGATTTTCCATCTTACTGTCCCTGGAGAGAATCTCTTCTCCATAATTTAAGTGACACTTTGGATGATTTGTGGCCCAAGCGAAAACGCCTCTGCTGATTTTTTAATTAACTTTTGTCGAACGATAAATTAAGGCTGTTTAAATATTTATTGTCTGGGTTCTTCTTTTTTTATCAAATCCTTTAACTTTGCCAATCAAAACTTCGTAGACTGGCCGCCAAAAAATATTCTCTGGCTAACGCATAAATAAAATCACGAAAACGAATTCCAACCATCCCCGAGATTCATCAACATCATTAGTTATAGGTCGAAAACCCGACTGAAACCAGAAAACCACAGAAACTAATTTATCACACAGATGGTTCATGCTTTGTTTTAATGGTTTTTGATCGACAAAAGGGAAGAGTTCGATAACGCAAATCCAAAAAAATCGACCAATACGTCTGACAAACGAATAAAATTCCACGTTCTTGGTGGGGAAACTTTGAATGGGATTTTGTTTAGCCGAAAGCAGTAATAAGGCAATGTAAATTGTTTATCAAGTCGTTGCCATAAATTCATATAAAACTGCAATGCAAAATTAAACTGCAACGCCAACGCAACAAAAACGAGCAGCTAGTTAAGTAAACAAAAAATGATATATAAACAACACTCAGAAAAAAAATTATATTAAGGAGTCAAGTTTATTTGCTCGTAAATAACATTTTAAACTATGTTCTTATTGGTTGTTGGTATATTTTTGTACTAAATTAAAATGGATAATTTTGTATACTTTTTAATAAGTTAAGGCTGAATACATTCTTCATTTTACAAGCTTACTAGAACTTAAATGGGTATGGGGTTTGTTGGGAAAAGCGTTTGTGGGAGAGGCACAAACAAATCATTGAAGCCAATGCGAGTGCGTGCGTTTAAATCTATCAATAGGCACATTTGTAATTGCTACAATGGGCGGGCAATTCCGGTTGGGGCCAATGGCATATCATTGGGAATCATCGGCCAGAGGGCCGGGGTTATTGCAGGGCACATCGGGAGCAACTACAAATCATTCTCTAATGTGTTGATACACAAATTGTTCGCCGCTTGTGTTTAATTTCTCTCTTATGGCCCAAGCATGCTAATTAACAGCAAACGAGGGAGATACCAGCGGCATCCGCTCCTTTCTCTTTCTCGGCAACTTCCTCTTTATATCTGCACGGCTCATTCACACACGATGTTGGCCATTAAGAGACGAGGCTGTGGTATGCAATGCCGTGCCATCTTAATAATGACATTTATTTGTAACGTGTTAAGATACTAAATTGCCCCGGCCACATGCAACAGGCGGCATATAACCATAACTGTGAGCGATTCATCTCCATCGGCATGTCACTCTTGAATACCTGGACAAAAGCATATGAATATATATTATATATGCCTGTCGAGTTGTGGTTTGTCCTCATCTTCCGACGGAGTCTTGGTAATTTTCAACAATTTGCAACCATTTTTGTGCAGCAACAGCAACTACGGCAAGAAAAGCGATAACAATTTCCATGACTCGAGCTTATTACCTTTGGTATGCGTAATAACTTTGGTGCTGCACACGAGTTACACTGGTTAAAAAGATTTCTAAATCCACGCGCAACATTTTTTTAAAGATTGTAAATGTACAATAATATAATAATCTGAAGTAAATTAAAAGATTAAAAGATTTAAACTTCTTTAAAAGCAACCAAAGAAGATATTGTATAACTTTAATAACTATGAATTTAACAATCTTTATTTTAAACTACCTAATTAAAATTTTTACAAATATTTTAGTAGCTCCATCTCTAACTACACCCAAAAAACCAAACTACCTAAAAAGTTTTCGAAATGACCTAAATGTTAGAAACAGTGGCCTATAAAATAAAATTTTACCAAATAAACAAGTTTATTTAGTAAACCAGTGATACAATCTGTTAAATTTGACAATTAATCTTAAATTTCATAATCAACCTTAAATTTCCTTTGTGGCTTCTAAATTCTATAACTTGTTGGCCAGTGTGTCTTCACTCCGGAACTTGGACACCTCCTCCGATCCAGTTCAGCAATCAACCGCAGCTGCCGAGGTGCGTGTGAGTGTTTTCCTCCGCTGGATCTTGGCAATTGTTATAATTTGCCACATATTGAAATTGAATTGCCGGGGTTTTGCGATGGTGTTTGTGCTTGCATGTATCACTCACTCGCTCACCTTCACGGTAAATGCAGTTGCGCGCTTGACTAATTTTGCATTCAAGCCTGCACTGGGCGCAAACAGCTTATTTAGCCAGGTGCGTTGATGTGTGGCTGCTCCCACAAGTTTCCGTTTCCACTTGGCCATTCGATTGGCTGTTGACAGGCGGCTATTTGACTCCCTGATTCTGAAAGGACCTAGTTGAGGGGGCTGAAAATATTGATTGGATGTTGATTTCAGGAACTGAAAAGGTTGTATCCAGTCAGGTAGTCGGAAAATTTGTATTTTGAGAGCTATTTTACACAAATTGTAGTTTTTGTAAACGATCCTAAGTTTGAAATGGCTCAATAACTAAAAACTATGATTTAATAAAGCTCCTTCAACGAAAAAAGTAAAGCAAACAATCCTGACTTAGGTATATCCCCTTAAATGGAAGATATATAAATTTCGCTTATGACACCTTCTTTGACAACGGACAGGCGGTTAATATGCATAGGAAGGTGTCAAGTCGAACTCAACTCAATCCACTCGAAGCGAGACAAAAAACACGTTTTGCGACTAAGTCGCGCATTTAAATACAAAAGAGCAGATTCGACGCTTAAAACAAATCAGCTAACAGTAAATAACCTGTTGCGTTTGCGCCATTAATGTCGAACTTCATTATGCTGATATACGAGCTGTGGCAGGGAGCATAAAGCAAAATTCGGCCCAAAAAAGCAGAACTGTAGGATATCCCTATAGTAATTTTACACCAGTAGACAACAACTTCATTATCACATAAGCTCCGATTACATGCGTGCCATAGAGTCCAAAAACAAAATCTTTAAAACAAAAGGGAGAAGAAGAGGGAACGAACAACAATGCAAACATAATCATTATCCAGATTACGGCCAAATTTATCGAAAGACACAGACTCCGAGTGCTTAACGAGCCCAAAAGATGCCTTCATGGCTTGATTTTTAAACCTGCACTGGGAGAAAACAAGGTACTATTTTTGAAGTAA